ATGAACAGTCTATGGCATTATAGATTAGGGATCCATGTTAAAGAATGATTTTTATTGTTGATTGATAAATATCTCACCAGCAAAGTATATATTAATCTGTCTTGAATGAAATGTGTTCAGTTTTTTCAACTTTCATTACTTTTTTTTTTTTTTTTTTTTTTTGTGATTAAATTACTTGAGTCTTTTTTTTTATAGGATTACTAAAATGACTATTGCTGTCCTCCTGAAAACATTTAGATATTTTAAAAGAAAAGAAAAAAATGTAAAAAAGATATTTTAAACAAATCATCCATTAAATTTTCTTTACATAACATCTGTCAGTTTTAAGAGACCTTGGATCTGTGCCCAGAGAGTTATGCCTTTGTTATGGTTGTACAAGCCTACACAGGAGTGACAGTCTTGATTGCAAGAAATGCATGTAATGATGCTCCCTCCCAGTGTTGCCCTGTTTTCTTTCTGTCAAGCACACTTCTCCATGGTGGCAAACATTCATTTCTCCTTTCCTTGTTCCACTCCCCAGTGTAAATCGCGTCTCCAGCGCGAGTGTTCATTAGCAACATCTTCCCACCTCTCCATGTTCATCACCCTCATGCCCCTTTTGCAGACCTCTTTGAAGCGAAGATCAGGTTAATCAGAGAGCCAAGTTCCAATTCCAGTCGGGTTTGTTATATTCACTTACATGCAAATACCCTTGGGATAGGTATGAATCTACTTCTTCTCTCCTCCACCCCTAGCTATAGGTTAATTAGTAAGATTCGTATCACTAAATTATCTCAACAAAAAAAATCTTACAATCTAAAAATATTTTCTGGCTTTAAAATGGGTTAAGTCATAGAAAATGAATCGATCAAAAAACTAAATCGTCTTTGTAATGTTTCCCTTTCTCTGCTCTGTGAAGAAGACTATAGAATACTGCAGCTGAAATTGGATAAAAACAGCAAAGATGTGGAAAATGGCCTGAACATAAATCCATGTATGATAGTTTTAAAATTGTTTGTATTCATTGTTTTAGCAAATCCTTAGAATTCAATGTTGGCCCTATATAAAGATGCCACCAGCACATTTCCTCTGGGAAAACAAATGGGAGGATTCTTCCAGACAATAGCATGCAACAGGGATGCCTACTTTCACCCACATTGTTCAACCTATTTCTAGAGAGAATCCTGCAAGAAACTTCAAATGACCATGATCTTTCAATTTCTATCAGTGGCAGACCCATCTGTAACCTGTGTTTTGTAGATGACATTGACCTCATAACAGGTACTAGTGAGCTCCAGGACTTGACCAACAAACTTTTTGAAAGAGCAGGAGCATATGGAATGGAGGTCAGCTCTGAAAAATCCAAAGTAATGGTGAATAGCACAAACAGTAACACATGTCAACATAGCCATGAATAGGAATTCACTGGAGAAGTGTCCAGTTTTAAATACTTAGGAGCAATCTTGTCTAAAGATGGTACCTGCAACTTTGAAATCTGCACACTGATTGCCACAGCAATGGCCAAATTGACAAGAATATGGAGGAGCAAAATCAGCTTTCAAGCAAAGTACGGACTGTACAAATCGCTGGCAGTCTCCATTCTCCTATATGGATGTGAAACCTGGACACTGTTGGCAGATACAGAGAGAAGGATCCAAGCGTTGGAGAAGAAATGCATGAGAAATACTCTTTGGCATTTTCTATTGGGAACAAAAAAAACAATAAGTTTCTGTGGAAAAGTGTTGAAAATTTTTATGGGCCACCAGGAACCTCTTCTCTTCACTCAAACAGAGAAAAATGGCGTGGTTTGGACACATTACGAAGCACAACATCCTGTGCAAGACCATCATGCAAGTCACCATTGAAGGTGGACGTAGGAGGGGACTCCAATGCAAAAACTGATTGGACAATGTCAAAAAAATAGACAGCTATGGCTACCAGAATTGCTTATGGCTGCTCTAAATAGACCGTTGTGGAAAAAATAGCATAGTTCCTGCATTCTTATACACCCTTCAATTAAAACAGCCAAGATGATGATGATTCATTCTTTTGAAAACATTTTTTTATTAAGAATGTCTAGTTAAATACTTCATTTGCCAAGCAACAAGTACTTATTTTCTTTTTTCTTTTCTCTTTTTTTATAAACTGTTTTTTGCAACATGTTTCTGTTCCCTAATTAATACAGTTTGGGCTTCCATTGCCCAGTCTACAATCCAGGATATCAGCATATTGGATGCTATGTAATATTTGGGTACATTTCTGAATTTGCCTTCTAAATTGGCAAATATTATGACCTAATTTAATTTTGTTAATTATCAGTAGAACAATTATAATATATTAATTGTTCTTAACTAAATACTAATTATATACACTGTCTAATTTTATTATGCAAATTAATGCTTTCACAGTAAAATTGTTATTAACCTATCAATTAAATTTTCAGGACATATTTAAAAGGGCAAAATATGATATGAATTTCAGTTTATAATATTTACCTTTCTTAAAAATATTGATATCATAATCATTTTTGAGGCATTAGGTTTTAGAAAACAAAGTGCAATATATATTTACTTATTTATAATGACTACATTGAATTCATAGCTGCATCTACTGCAAGGAAAGTTAAGTTCACTGTGTTGCGCCAGACGGTTTTTCTCATCAGAGTCCCTCTTACACATCTACAAATTTACTATTCGTCTGTGCATTGAATACTGTTGCCATATCTCGTCTGGTGCCTTTGCTGTTCATCTCAAGGTTTTTGACAAAATTCAGAGAAGGATCTGCAATGTAATCGATCCTGACTTGGCATCTCGACTTCAGTCACTTTCTCACTGACGTAATGTGACTTCCCTCTGTCTTTTCTACAATTATTTCCATGGCAACTGTTCTGACGACCTTTTTTCCCCTGGTGCCACAAGTACATGAATTTAAGCATGCTACTAGTTTGGCATCTCTTTTACTATTGAAATATTTAAATGTAACCGCCACAGTTTCTTCTTGCATTTCGCAACAGTGGAAATCCCTTCCTCTTACTTGCTTCCCTGATAACTACAATCTTCAAAAATTTAAATGCAACGTCAGTTGTCATCTTCTGCTGAATCCTGTTCATCTTTTATCCTCTCCTCAATCTCATATATACCCAGTCTTTTCTCTCATTTGCACTCTCTGTAACTTCCTGTGTACTAGTGGCACTCCTACCTTATTTGGGGTGAAATACTTTTAAAAAAAAATCCATAGGTTGCAGAAATGTATATTTGGTTATTACAATGATCCATATATATTCTACATGTTAATATGAACTCCTTGACATTCTATAACCTTCCTCAGTCTTTCAAACGATGATTTTATTAATTTTTCTCTTTTGACTTTAACATGCAGCAATTTTTTATCTCTTCCCAAAAATATTCTTTGCTTAAGTATTATTTTCCATTCTCATATCAGTTATGTGCCATGTGTGATACATGCTTAGGCAATCATGTATTTTTTTGATACATGACTGACAAGGCAGATTTTTCCCCGCAGTAGGATGCCATTTCTTTCTGCAGTAGACCAGTTGCCATCCAAGGCTATAGAACCCAGTCTGCCCTGCTATTTACCTATAGCTGGAGGGAGAAGAGGATTCATACCTCGCACAAGGGTATTAGCACATAAGTGAAGATAATGGATTCAACTGGAATTTGAACTCGGCTCTCCGATTCGTCAATCTGAGCCGCTATCCATCACTCCACCATGCCTCATTCTCATATAAATCTCTTTTAATGATGGACCACAAATTTTCTATCAGATTAATATCAGGTGATGCTGGAGGCTATTAGTTTAGCATCTTTTGTACCTTTTTTTGATAAGGTTGGCAATAGTCAGCTCTACTGAATACAAAGGAGCATTATCTTGCATGAATACAGTCTTTAGCTTAAAGCTACTTGGTTTTGACTTGTACCACTCAACTAATGTCTTAACCAAGAACTTTATAATAATTCTATTCATTTATCTTGATACCATCATCAACTTTGAAATGACCTATAATTATACTGCCTGTAATACTAGTTCAAAACTTTACTTCAGCCTTTGTTTTCTTGTAAGTCATGTTGATTGACTATTTCTGTTAGGTCCTAAATATAGCTACATTATTTATTATTAAAAAAAATACTCTCAAGTTCTATATATAATGTTTACTTAATGGCAGTAGCTTTTCTGAAATCACTTTTTCTAACAATTTAATTCTTTTCTTGTTTTTATTTTACCAATATATTCCTTTATTTTTTTTTTTCATCACTTAATAACTTTACAATATCTTATTTGTCTTTTGAACATCTTTTTTTATGATTCATACCAAATTTTATATACTCTAAAATTAAAGAATAAATCTTACTAAGTATACTACTATTATATGTATTTATTTAAAATGTTATTAACTGTCTTTGAGTTGCATAATAAAATCTCATATTACCAGATACTTTTTATCCTGTTCACACTCCTCCCCAGCCTTTTGAACAGGAGTAGAGGTTTATCCCTTGTTCTCTGTTTAGGATTGGTCTTTCTGTTCTTTCTAAAGTCTTCATTCTCTTTCACTCCCACTTGTGTATTAGTAACATTGTCTTACTTGGGAGGTAAATCGATTTGAGAGAAGAAAAAAAAAGTACTGTTAAAACAGTATAGTCTGGGACTCAGTGTTATATATCATGAAAATTCTACTAACATGGCTGGGTTAATAACAATTTTATTATGAAAATATTAATTTGCCTATTAAAACCTGACATAGTGTACAAATTTTTTGAGTTGCTTTTATTTTGTAACTGATCTAAATATATTTATACTAGTTTTTCCATTGAGGATGGTGGTATCTTTTTGAAAATACTTCTAAATTTGAATAAAAGATTTTGTTTTTGTACAATTTCTTTTTTTTTTTTTTTTTTTTACTGTATTAAAATGATTTTAACACCATCTTCCTTCAATTAATCTCTACCATGAGAAACTACAGGCTCTCTTTTACTTTTTTTTTTTTTTCCCTAACCTCTTTTCAGGTTGGAGATGTTCGCCTCTGCTGCTTAAAAGCACTTCAGCCACTATATGATACAAGAGATCTTGCTCCCAAGTTAGAGTTGTTTACCAACAGGTTCAAAGTAAGGAAAAAAAAGAATCTTTTTTATTATTACTACTAATACATACATACATTTTGTATAGGAATACAAGTTCGGTTCATGTCAGAGAATGCATGTTTTCTACAAAATTTCTCAAACATTCAGGCCAATAAATGTAATTAATACTGTTTAATTAAAAACAAAGCATTTACTTAAATAAATTGTATCTATAAAAATAACATCTAAACAGAAAATATCTTAAATAATTGTTGGACTCCATTTTTATATATATATATATATATATATATATATATATAGTTAAATTCCCAGATGAACATTTGATTTCATTTTGCCTTGAAAAAGTCGGGAGACAAAAAGCAGCGTCGGCAAAATGTAAGATTTTTTTTTTTTTCCAATTGTCATTTTTACCATATATATATATATATATATATATATATATATATATATATATATATATATATATATATATATATATATATATATATAGTACCAATTTGTGGCTGGTAGGGATAATTTCAAGGAGGATATTAATCCAAACAAAGCTCAATGTAAATTACAAAGCATTGTTATAATAATAAATCAAGAAAAACCCTTAAAGATCCATTTCAGTTATAATTTATTTTGAGAATATTACTATATTCATCTCTTAAGACCGAAAGTTCTTAATGAATGGAGACAATTCATTCGGACTGATATCTTGGATTAACAAGAGGAAGAAAGAAAAATAACAGATTTTTTAATATAAAATTTTTTTTAAAACATAAAAGGGAGAGAGAGAAGGGGGGGATGAAAGAAGGAAGAAATAAATGATGGGATTGTAGTAAAACTAAAATAGAATGAGCTGGCCAATAATTTTTTCCTCGAGGGTTTGAACAAGTTTGTACATTGGGTGATAGAGGCCCACAGCACTCCTTTATTTTTCTTTTAATTTTCATTTCTATCACTGAAGCTTCTGGTTGAGTATAGTAAAATATGCAGGACTCACTCAGTTTCAACATTAATGTCTTTTTTGTTCATTCTGAACATGCCATAAACTGCAGTTTTATAAGTTTAGCTTAGTCTTCCACAAGGCTACAAGGGATGAGTCCCTTAGCCTGTAAGCCAAACTTGCTAGCCATTGTGCTACAGCACATCTTTTTATAGCCTAAAATGTAAACAAACTTTAACCTTAGATTTTAAATTAGAATGGTATTTTTTTAAATATTTCATACTTTGTGAATTGATTCCTAAGATCATCTTTGCTTTCCATTTCATTTAGGCCTTGAAATTATATTTTTTAATCTCTCTCTCTTTTCTATTTCAGGATCGTATTGTTGAAATGACACTTGATAAGGAATATGAAGTGGCTGTGCAAGCTGTTAAGCTTGTCATTAGCATATTAAGGTCAGTCTTCATTCAGCTCTTTTCAAATGATTTACAAATCAATGAAAAAAAAATTACTGAACAAGATGGATAAATACAAAACTTGATATTTAAAAATATATATATATATATATATGTATATATATATGTATAAAGTGAAAATTCAAGTCAACATTTAGAGGCGACAGTTTCATGCTAGATGCAATCGTCAGGCCACAAGTGTTGTTTTTTTTTCTTGGCTATTTATATATATATGGGTCAGTGGTGCATTGTGGGTAGTCTATTTTGCCAGAAGTTGTTTGTTTATTTATTTATTTATTTATTTATTTATTTATTCAGGTTAAATTATTTTCCTTGTTTTTATTTATTTTTTATTTTTATTTCTTATCTTATATATTTATTTATTTGTTTTTTTATTTTAATCAGTGTTTTATTAATGTAGTAAAAATTTGTTCATATCGCTTGTTTAATAGTTTCTAAGTGTTGACTTCAGTGTTCACTTTTATATTTACACATGCTCTATCTCTGATATTGAGCACTTTATACCATAAATATAGCACACCTTAAGAGTATATTTTTTATATATATATCATCGGCTAATTAAATCATTGTATCTAGTTGTGGAGAATTCCCTTTTTGTGAACCCTGTTTAACTTTGACCTCAACTAGTTAATTTGAATATAGTATATTGGATGCTGGTAGTATAAGAAATGGATGTCCCAAAACCACCCTTTCAGCTTCAAGCGTATAAGATTTGTATATCAGTGGGATCTACGCTATGTTCCCAGCAGGTCTCCCACCCCAAAGGCAGCACATCCCCTACCTAATTAAACAAACAGACTTGAAAATACATAAACTTAGAATACAGTAAATTGTGTATTTAAAAAAAACATTTAAAATAACTTGGGTTAACTTTCAAAAATTTGATACAGTTTAACATACTGTCTGAATTTCTGTGATGGGGAGTTTATCATTATTTACCCCTTTTATGTGCAGATTATTGTCCTCACAACCACGACGAAAAAAACAGCCTGTATTTAAATAGTGTAAATAATACTGACTGTAGTTAATATCAAGATTGTCTGAAAATAAAGTTACCAGATGCATTGAAAGATATAGGTCTATGGTCAACTTGAACACTTGTGAGTGGCTACTTGGGAGTATTGACATCTATAGGGGTGATTTTTGCTTCTAGAATTTTTGTAAGGTGCATAACTATCACTTCATGAAGGATGGAAGTATGCTTTCCTATTAAGGAGGTACCTCCACAAATTGGGTATACCTAAGGTTTAAAATGAAAAAGCTTTCCTGAAGCTTTTAATTTAGCTTTATATTTACTATATCTTGTATGCAAAATACTTTGGTTTATTTCAAACAGAAATTATATTGATTGGAATAAAGTTGCATTTTTTTTTTTTTTTTTTTTTTTTTTTTCAGTAAAATCAATCACGTCAGCCACTTTTCGACATTTGTAAACAAAACTTATTTTTCCGTTTTAAAAATCTTGAAAAAATAAAATATATACTTCTGAAACACTATTTGAGGAAAACTAGCAAATTTAAAGTTAATCTGATTTTAAACAAATATTACATTCTTATAGCATAAAATGTTGTATACAAGCCTTTCCTAACTATGGGGGTCTTGTTTTTCTGATGTGTTAATCGATTTATTTACAACAGATTGTCCACCAAACATGATCAAAATTATCTATGGTATAGCAGACAACAATTTTCATTAGTGTATTTTTAAAAAAAATTTTTTTTTTGTTAGGGCTGGGTTAACCCTTAAAACATGTGACCTTTTATTAAAGGATTTATCGGTTTGTACATCCACATCTCAGAAATTCTTCATTGATATACATATATAAAAACATTGAAATTCTTTTTAAAATTATCAGGGTTTTCAGATTGTAATAAGCTTTAAAATATACGATTAGTAAATATAGTTTTACTTAATAACAACATTCCCTAAAAATTACCTCATTGAAATTGAACTTTAAAAGATTCAAAAACTTTATAAATTATTCAATTTTAAATTGTAAAAATTTATTTTTCATTGAAAAAAAAACTTTTTTTCTTGGGACAATATTGTCTTCAATATATATCTCTATCTATAAAGGGCAGGATGTGTGTGTGTGTGTGTGTAACGAATGCACGGCCGCAATTTTCGATGGATTTGCACCAAAATTTACATGCACATGCTCCAAGTTAGCGGAAAGGCCAAGACTGACTTTGCATTTCCCAACTCCCATCGATAGTGGAAATAATCAATTTTTTCATGCTTCTCCGGCAGTTTTCATGTAGTTTGCTGCCATTTTGTACTGGCCAGAGTGAGAGCCTATAGCTGGCTGCCACAAATAGGTAGGAAGATTCTATTGGCCAGCGTGAGAGCCAACAGCTGACTGACATGAATGTTAACTAGCATGAAAAAAAAAATCGATAGCTGCATTTGTCACAAGTGGGAAAAATTTAAATCTGCCTGGCACTTTACTCCAATTGGTTCATTCGCTTGCTTAAACTCAACATTGATTCTGATTCCGCAGAACTGGGTTGGGTGTGAAAAAGTATTTGTTGTTAACATTCTTTTTTTCATTCAGGTTTTTCCAGTTACGAGTCCTTTTTTTAAAGCTGATCGTTTTGTGTTCGTTTTGTTTAGTTCTTTTTTCGTAACGGATTTAATGTTTAGTATAGAGCTTAGAAAAAATTTGCAGTGTGAGATAGGCAAGAAGTAAGGCATGTAGCCTTTAAAGGCAAGGAATGGCAAAATATTTTAAGTCAGCAATTGCTGTATGAGTCATATGATTTTTTAATCAAGCACAGGCAACGCCGGGCCATGCTGCTAGTTATTTATAAAAGCAATTAAAAGCTTTTCCAGTTAAAGATGTCTTGGTTTTATTGCATTTTTTATTTTTTGATTCAGAACAGATTTTCAGTAAAACTGGGTCCAATTTTGCAAAATAAAATTGATTTAAATCCTTTAAAAAATTCTGCTTTTAACTCCTATAGTCACTAAAAATTATCTCAAATTTCTCAAGCTTTCATAAAATTAAGGGGGAGAAATACATTAAAAAAAAAAAAAAAAACTTTACCAAGATTTTCTAATAAAAAAAAAATTAAAATAATATCATTCGTTTATGGATAAGTCGGTTTTTTTAGCAAGAATTTCCACTGCAAAAAAAAGGTGCAAATTTACTATGTTAAAAGTTAGTACAATCACTGATGCAAGAAAAACAAGTTTTTTAGTAAAAGTTTCGATTGTTATAAAAATGAGTGGAAAAAAAAAAAAGTTAATAAAATAATCAAAAAATACTTTGATCCTTTCTCTTAATGATAGCATAAAGATTTTGACAATAAAACTGTTTTCATTATATTTGGAGCATGTTTTCATGTGTGCTTTTTTTTTTTTTTTTTTTTTTTTTATAGCAATCTCATGGAGGTACCTACTGTTATGGCTGTGAAAACTGTGTTAAAACAACTCTTGTCTTTTGTAAAGAGTGCAACAGTGTTTTCTCTCGGCTTACTAGGTTGCATCAAAAATAGTATGCTATTAAATTAGATATATTGGCTTGTCATAGAGCAACAGTAGGTTAGGAATTTTTGGTTGTTATGCCAACAGCTGGAGCATCAAACAGCAGCTGTTGTGCTTGAGCCTCTGTATGAAGGAACCAAATCGTATTTAGCAAACCAATCCAAGTTGGTTTTTGTGCCTTTGTCACTTGGGTAGTGTATTACAGTGTGTTTGTAGCATATCCACCACTGATGAGTGACAGTAGCTATTGTTTGTTGCTCAATAACAGGCATTACTGTACACTCAATGAGATGCTGTTGCCACATGGCTCACTAAAACTTTTCTATGGATAGCAGCCTCTTTAAGCTCCAGCCTGTCTGGCAACAACCTTTTTGTGCTCTTGTTACATTGTAGCAGCTGTGACTGAATAACAGCTTGCTTGGGGGAGGGGGGAGTCATAAGTATCACCCTCTTTTGGTTGTTTTTCAGCAGCAACACTTAGTCATCAGTGTCACTATTGGCTTCATAAATCATGTCTACTGCATATTTTGGTTCAAAATAGGAACATCCTGGGTAAGGTGATAAACTACATCCGCGTCCTGGGTAAAACAATAAACTACATCCGACAGCAAAGCCTCTGATTAGGTTTTGAGGAGCATGGAACCGCCTCTTAATAGCTTGTGTTCCCAGATCCGCCCTGACCTGGAGTGAAGTACCTGTTAGGGTCCCAGCTTTGGGCAAATAATGAACTCTCAAAATGGTGTAAAAAAAATAGGTTTTAATACCTGCAATATATTTTTGAAAAAAAGAATATTAACAGCAATAAAAATCTTGTTGGCATTAAATTAACCCATTGATGTTGATCTGCTGTAAAACAAACCAAACCAAATCAAAATAGGAATGCTTAACCATAATAATTCCCATGGTTTAGTAGCACATGGTACATATGTCATAATGATGTCACATCTCAATACTGCTCAGTGTGTGTCCAACAAACAAATCGGCCTCCAGATCAGCAACCAACTGTAGTTGGTTTTTCAGTGGGGGTTGGTAGGTATATATGCTGGCTATCTGTGGGTACAGCTATAGCATATTCTGCCTTAATGTCTTCTTCATTGTTGTGATGAGCATAAAGCTTTTTCACATTTATCACCTCAATCTGGTCTACTGGTTACTTTCACTGAATTTTTATAGTAAAATCATTAGCAATGCATTTACATTCTCAATACATGAAAAATTCTCAGTCAGACCAAGAAAGAATGTGAGAAAAAAAAAGTTGTTTGGTCATATTTTCAGAAGCTTTTTGTGCTGAAAATTTTTAAGCATCCTCTGTGTGTGTGTTTATAGAGAGAGATAGCAACCCTATTCTGGCAGTAACACTAGACTTAATTCCTGATTATTGATAATCTCTTTTCTTCTGATGCTCAAGTAAGTGTCAAAAATAAAACATATATTAGGAGAGAGAATATAAAATTCAATGGTTAACAATTGCAATTTTAAACAATAATATCATACTAATATTTTCTCTCGTTTATTGTATAAGCTGTGAATGACATTCACAGATTGCTTTGATTAACAATAATTATTGACCCTCTTAAAGACTGAAAAATAAAATTGACAAAGATTGTTGTTTAAGGTTGACAGACACGCATGTCTTAATTAGTTTTTTTTTAACGAATTGGTCAAACTCAAACAAAAACATTGTTTTCAATCGTTATGAGTCTCCCGATTGAATAGAATAATTTTATAAACAATTGTCTTGTAAATGGAATTTTTAAAGCATTCTAAATGTAAAAAATAAAAAAAAAAGTGTGCAAGACAATAAGAAACACTACATGCCAAAAAAAAAGTGAAGTTTTGTTGAAATCGGTTGAAAAATGTAGAGAATCCGATCCCATATATAAACGAACACAGACACACACAAGCAACCTGGGTTTTATAATAAGTATAACTCGATATGAGTTGTCCCCCTTTCATTCTGGCAACTTAATTGTGTTTTCAAATTGATTTCATGTAAAAACAATTGTGTTTTTCCAATTTTTGGTTCTGTCAGAACCACCACAAGGTAATTTTACGTAGTCCTGTGAAGTTTTGTTGAAATCGGTTGAAAAATGTAGGAAATCCGATCCAATATATAAACGAACACACACACACACACAACCTGGGTTTTATAATAAGTATGATTACAGGGCTGTAAATTATACATTTTTATCCTCTAGTCATGTCACTGAAATTAATATTTTTGAGCATACAATAAATATTAACATTCATCTATATTTGTTCATCGAAATTGTGGCATCTGCTTAATTTTTATAAATACTTTTAAGATCTACTGTAACTAAACACATAATCATTGGTGAATGAGAATTTTTATGTCTCTTTGTTTTATAAATCCGTCTAGTAAGAAAAAGATATCTAAGAAAGGCTATGTTATTGGAGTGTGTCCTTAAAAATTAATATTCAAACAGAAACGTGGAAATAATAATATATAACAGAAAACTGCATTTTTAAAACTGCTGCTATTTTAAAAAGAAATTAAAATTTTTCATGTCTATTTCTTATACGCCAGCATCAATTTCATAATTCAGTGTTCGAATTATTGAAATTAATTTTTAGTTGTTTTTGTTATTGATAATTCTTATTAGATCTGTTTTACAGCCTTCTTCAAATGTACAGCCTGTTTGCCACAATTAATTACAGATTGTATACCTGAAGGCTGGAAAATGGATTGAAAACATTTTGATGACAACAAAAGCAACACAATAAGTTTAACTTTTGGAATGATATTCTTTTCAAAATTATAGATAGTAAATGTCAATATTTGATGAGGAAAAAAAAAAGCATTTTGATATATTAAATGTTTTAATAGTTAAATGAAAAATTTTCAAGCTTCAAGTTTTTTTTTTCTTTAGCATATTTCTGTAGAAGGTTTTGCCAGATACTGTGGCCATATTTGTAAACCTGAAATAAAAATGAAATCACTAATATTACTTTAAATGATCATGAGTGATTTTCTTTCTTTCTTCTTTTTCTTCCAGATATAATGAATCTGTTTTGACTGATAAAGACTGTGAGAATGTTTATGAATTAGTGTACTCATCACACAGACAAGTAGCGCAGGCGGCAGGGGAGTTTCTTAATGCAAAACTTTTCCAAAAAGATGATGAGAGTCTTCGATGCCTAAAAATCAGTAAAGGCAAAAGGAGAAGTCCTAACACCCCCCTGATTCGTGATTTAGTGCAGTTTTTTATTGAAAGTGAGGTAATGGCAACTTTTCAAACTTTCTTCTTAACACTTGATTGAATCTTTTGCCATGTGTAAACTGTTTAATTAACCTTTTGATTCTCACCCAACCACTACTCTTCTTCAACCTGTCTTCTATTAAGTACAATGTAATTAATAGTCATTGCTGCCAATATCACAGCACTTTTAGCTAACAGACCAGACCATCCATAAACTCATTGGGTTCCTTTTAAAAGCAGTTCATGATAATAAAAAAATCATGAGGCAACAATATTATCAATTTTATTATTAATTATACATATTTTAATTTGTTTACATGTTATTGTAATAATTATTACCCACAGTATACAATATTACTTAGATCAAACACAATAAGAAATTAATAAATAATAAAAAAAAAAATTTACTTTTTCAAAGAATAGAATTGCCAAATGATGTCACACTAAAGGCCTTTCCATTCAAGTAATAGTATCCCTGGGGTAACAATTTATACCAATTTTAGTATTTACCATAATTTTCGAAAGTGAAAGTCAGTCCAAAAAAACAAAAACAATCATCTGCTTAGGGAAATTCATATTTATTGAAATAACAAAGTATGAATGCCTTCTTTTTGTGTACATAGTTTCTTTTTCTTCTTTTCTTTTCTCCTTTTCTTTTCTCTTCTCCTTTTCCCCTTTTCTTCTTTTCTCCTTTTCTCCTTTTCTCCTTTTCTTTTCTCCTTTTCTCCTTTTCCTTTCTCCTTTTCTCCTTTTCCTTTCTCCTTTTCTCCTTTTCCTTTCTCCTTTTCTTTTCTCTTCTTTTTCTTTTTTCTCCTTTTCTTGATATAAGAATGTGTATCAGGGAGAAAAATATTGAATTTCATATTAAAAATGCTATAAAAATAGAAAAAAATGACTCTAGTTCAAAACTCCCTTGTCAAATTTTAATGAAATTTGGCACTGCACTTGGCAGGGGCTCAAAGTACAATATGCTCCTAAATTGGTTGGAGTATTATGTATTGTTTAAACTGTATCTCAGGGAACAAACAAGATGAGTTTTTAGTATTATATAGATGATATATCACCACATCTTTGCACTTGCACCATCTCCTCACATCCCCTCCTCCCCCACCATCTCACTTTTGGATCAGGATGTTTGATAAATGTCTTGCATTTCCATATTTGAGACTGGCAAACAAGAGGAATGTTGAATTTTGGATAAGTCCCAGATGGAAATTATCTAGTGAGAGAGAGTTCAATCTTGAGCCAAAAGGTTATATGTTCCAGGTAGGAAACCCCCCTTAACTGCTAGTAACTTCGTTAGTGGTTACTTCTCACTAGTTTGTCAAATTTGTTGTGAGTTTTGCCATACTTTTTTTTTTTTTTTTTTTTTTAAATCAATTCACTCATTTAATTTGCAAGGTGATAATGCCACTAATATGCAAAGGGCTACTGTGAGTGAAAGAGAATGTGAAGACTGTAGATGGACCTGGAAACCCAATCCTAAACAGGGAACGAGATAACTCTCTAATTCTGTTCAAAAAACCAGGAGCATAAACCAGACGACAGGCAGCCTTATCTACTCCTAATGTTCTAAGCTTCAAAAATAATTTGCGCATTTCATTTGTCATCACTAAAATTTATTTTGTTGAAATTCATCCAAATTAAGAAATTGTATGAAAACTGCAAATAATTGTTTTTGTTAGTATTTGTCTGTTGAGACATTTTTTTTGTTTCATATCTTCTCTTTTGTTTACATATTCCTAATGTTAAATCAGGTCATTATCATTCATGACCTTTTAATAACAACTAAAATGTAGAACATATGTAACTTGGAGAGAAAATAATAGAATAGTCAAGATGTGTTGGTTTTCAACTTTTGTATTGACCAATACTGTGCAAACGTGCACTAATGCAGTGAACACTTAGCAAGAAAAAGATAGGTTACACTTTCACCAAGGAAGTAACTGACACCTAGGACAAACACTTGCAAGGAATGTGTCTACAAAACAATAAGTCAATTACAGCCAAACATTACAAAAATCATAAATTCCAATGCTTAGGTAGCTTTGTGTATGCATTCAGATTGACATAATGGAACCAGGTTATCAGGATAATGAGTTTTCTTCATGTGAGAAATCAATGACTCACCTACAAGAGCAAGAAATTCAACTTCATTCTGTAATCTACCTTGGTTGATGTCTTTATCCTGACTAATATTGTCACCTAATATGTTCAGGTTGTTAGGTTTTGGTTCTGAATTTTAGGCAGCATATCTCATAAATGACCTGTTGGAGCTAAATCTTAGAGTTGTTTGTCTATTTGCCATTCCAAAGATGAGACCTTAAAAGTGGTTGTTGTAATGAAATGTCCCACACTCCCTATCGCCCATGTGGACTGACTGTATCAGTAGCTATATATAGTGAGCACAGGATATACCTGAGGGCTTACTTGGGGATTACTAGCCTGCCACCCGATTCCCTCTCTTTCAGTATTGTATTCTCTTGTACAATAAACCTCTCTTCTTTCATCTACACACTTGTTGCTGTTCCTTCACTTGAGTACCACCTTTGTCTATTTGTAACCTCTTTAAGCATACAACAGTAGTGTATGGCTTGACTAATCTCAGGAGTTGATAATAAGCAGATTTCAAGTCAGTTGTACTAAAGAATTGATATTATGGCATAACATTTGCCTTCCACCCCCACCCAAATCCTTGACAGGTGGTCAGCATCTTACAGTATAAAATAGTTCACAATCTGAGGGTAATCCACTACCATTCTCTTTTTTCATATTACTCATCCATGATCGCTACAGCTTGTGGAAGTTTTTTGTTCACTCAATTATCCCTTCTGTAACTAACCTCTTCACGTCAGATGTAATTAAAGTATTTATTCTTGATTTAGTAGCTAGTGGGCTACGATTTTTGGTAAGACAAATATTCAAGGAATGGAAACAGAAAAGTTTGTCAATCCATTTAATGGAGGTTCTAGCCCCCAACTTTGAAATTTACTTATGTTCTGATGCTGCTTCATGAAATCAGAGGATGACATCAGCACATAAATCAGACAACTTCACATTCTTCTACTGACATCCCTTCACCTCTGCATTCACTAAACAAATCTAATATTTAAAAAGAATCAATTAAAATACAGTCTTAAATTATGTGAAATTAATTTTTAATTAGGTTTTAGTCCTCTCTCTCTCTTTGTATTACCCTTTAAACCTCCCAAAAATATTTTTATGCCACCCCTTTTTTTGCATATGTAAACAGTGCAATATGGAGTGTCTTATTTCACACTGAAGTTATTTGTTGTTAGTGTCTTGAGAAATTTCAAATGAAATTATGAAAAGTTTTGTTTAAATAAATATATCTCTGTAATTAATTGATAACTATACAAAAGCAAAATATTTTCTATAAATATTAGAGATATATAATTTATCACAATGTCATGATTTCTGTCTGAATCTTTCAAATAAAATGTCTATTACATTTGTTCCTTCAGACCAGTCTCCTTATTGTTGTTGTCTTTATCAACATATTTTAAATGCTCTCTTCTCTAAGTCTTCTTCAGGTAACTTTTCTCGGAGTGTCAGGTGGAACATTTTATTTGATCCATGGGAATGTGTTCTCATAACTTATTTGTTGTATCCCGTGTCCATCTTCTTGCAACCATTTCTTTCTTTCTTATTTTCTCTCTCTCTCTTTTTTCAGTACTGCTTTGCTTCTTTGCATCAGTATATATTTCTACAAATCCCGAGCCAGGAATTGAACACTGATAATGTGAAATGTTATGTTATGTCATTCTTATTTCATTTCATTTTCACTTAACCTTATTCTTTAAAGAAACTATCTACGATGGGGGCAGGTAAAAAAAAAATAAATAAATAAATCTGTAAGGGAATTAACTTGCCATACATTGTCATCATAAATGACTTGACTGATTAAATTGAAGATTTATGCAGGTATTTTATTCTATTTTTTTTTTTTTTTTTTTTTTTTTGTTCAAGTGGGGTATAATCAACTTAAATAATTTGGTTTGATTTTTGAAGTAGGTAGAGGAGGAAAAAAAAATTTTTGCTGTCTTACTAATAAGGCAGGAATACAAAATCCAGAATGTTGTATTAGCTCCAGTTTATCACTTAGAAGTTTTTTTGTTTTTTTTAATCATCATCATCATCAGTAGTAACAAGCATCTGATTAAGCTAGTATAGAGTTCTTGGAGCAGAAAGTGAATTTGATAAGCAATTGAAATTCCAGCTGAAACTGTTCAATATTTGTTAAACACTTGTATTCTTTTCCCAGTACTCTGTTCCATTGCCAGGTATCATAACAAAAAAAAAGTGTTTTATCACTAGTATACCATGCCAGTTGATCAAGAAAAGAGTAAGTGAGCATTTTCATAAACCACTTTCCCATAAATAATGTCCAGGAACTGGTATCATTAAAGTTGTTTTTATGCACTAAATAATTGTTTATTTAAATAATGACAGTTTGTATTTTGAATTGAACATTTTCTTTGTAGCTACATGAACATGGTGCTTATCTGGTCGATAGTCTGTGGGATATTAATGATATGATGAAAGACTGGGAATGTATGACTGACCTGCTACTAGAAGATACTGGAAAAGATGAAGAATGTAAGTAAAACATAAAAAAAAAATGTAGATGTCATACATTTCTGTAGAGATTATTTTTCCTTTTCTTTTTTTTTTTACTTATATCATTCATGGAGACTTGACAAAAGTAAATAAATATCTCCCTTCTCAAATAAATTCTGGCATTTCCAGTGCTCCTTGGGCTATAAGAAATAAATGAGCAATTGTTCAGTTTTCAGAGAAAAATCCAATTACAAGTTTATATTTTTATATCTGTTCTCTGTATTTTTGATGATTTGATCTGCTAAGTCTGCTACATTGAAAACAAGAAGAGCTTAGAGGAATTTATAAATTTTATTTTTATTCAAAAACTCGTTTTGAAAAGTGTTTGCATTAAAAAACTCTCCAGCCAAATTATTTACTTTTAATTCTAAACTTATTAAAAATACATAGTCAACTTCATAACATTAAGAAATCTTCTAATTATTACACATATTAGACATTTTTGTAGACTCGCGTAATAAAAATGTTTCTTTTTAACATCTTCAGTAAATTGAACTTAGACATATACTCTTACACTTTTATAGGATACAAATTTCTAAAAGCCAGGAAAAAAATTGATTCAAGATTTTAATGGAATATTTTTTAAAATTTGATTTAATATTTTAATTATCATTTTATTTTATTATCATTTAATAGTTTAATGGTAGATTTAAAAAAAAGTTTTTGGCTACTATTCAGTCTGTTTAATTTTATAATATTTAAATATTCTATAACATTTAAATATTTAAATACAGCTTTTACCAAACTTCCTTTCTGTTGCATCTTAAAAACTGTTTATAAAATAATTATTTAAATTGTTATTGAACTGAACATAACCTAATTAATTAATTCATGATTCTAGCCTCCCACATTTGTGACTTTTTCTTGGTTCCTCTTGGATAATATTTGTGCCCTGTGTCATATTTTAAATTTGGGAGATAAAGTATTTGAATTATTAATTTTGGTGAGTTAGGTTTTTATCACAGCATTCTACACGAATATATTTTTTGGCTATTAAACTGCATAAAATAGGAATAAAGAAAAAGCTTTCTGTGAAACATTATTACCAATCTTATTTGTTGAAAGCTTGTTTTACTACAAGAGCAACACACTAACTAATTCAAACAGGAAAGTAGTCATGGTTAGGCAGAGTTTTTATTTTTTTCTCATTCTGATTCAGAATCTGAAATTTTGATTTTGTTTGATTTTTCTTTCTTTCTTTTTTTTTTTTTTTTTCTTTGTAGCGCTTGATGATCGCCGAGAAACTAGCTTAATAGAAATAATGGTGTGTTGCGTAAAACAAGCAGCCACTGGAGAGTCCCCTGTTGGCAGGGGGCCAAATAGGAAGGTGAACATGAACATTTCTTTTTCCCCACCCCCATTTCAAATGAGGAAATGTTGTTTTTTTTAAAAAACAGAATCTTAGTTAACCACTCTAGAAACATAATTCTTTAAGTTTTCAGTAAATGGTTGGAATCCCATGGTTTTGTAAGGGCAAATCTGTAATTGATGAATGAATTGTAAGACTTGAATTTTTAATCAATCTTTTACCAATATAGAAAGTTGCTCAATAAGCTTAACCCTACTATTAATACAAGCACAAAACAAAATATAATTAGTCATTTTATGGTGTTACAATAACTTGTCTATAAATTGGCTCTCAGTCAATTCATTAATAAAACAGTTTATCTGTTGTAATTGGTTTATGCTTGTTTATTTGAACATTGGATCATTGACTATCGACAATGTCACCATTTCAGAGAAAGGATAAAATAAAGTTTTATATATATATAAGGAAGATTCATTGAGATTTGATTAAGGGAAGGGTCCCAAGTCCTACCCGAGGGAAAAAAAAAAACGCCCGGTTTGTCGCAGATTTTCCATAGACGCATTGACAGAGCGACCCGAGGCCGCCTGCTGCCGGAACAGACACCTCCTGGATTTTCACCAGAGCCCCTTTAACCGGGTTGCGGCCCTAATACCGCTGGGTGCCAGACCAATCCGCCTTGGGTGGCCCTGCCAGGAACCGAAGTTCCCGACGACATAGCCCTGGCACTACCACGTTGCCACCGCCCTGCCACGTTGAGGAGGGGTTGGACTTTAGGGGTGATGGTTCAGGCACACAGGGAGCTTATCCGCGATGTACTTCTCCCTCCTTCTCTTCCTGGCTAGCGAAAACGTGTCGGTGGGCAGCTAAAGACATGGGCTAGCACCATCAAGGATGACCTAGCAGTACTATCGAGTCCACAAGTAGTTGGTCTTTGATGATGGAATCGCGATTGGCTCGCCATTTCGTGTGACCTGGCTCAGGATCAGCGAGTGTGGGCAGTGATGGTCTGTGTGCTGTACTTGCTCGGGAGGAAGCCAGTTAAACCCAACAAGAGTGAAAACCGATACAAGACAAGAAGATATATATACACACAAAATATACAGGGTGTCCATAAAGTTCGTGTGTACTTTAAAAAATTAATATCTTTATTTGTATTTGCAATAGAAATGATTTATAAAAAGGATTAGAAAGAAGTAAATCTATATTTTTAAGGTTTTATTGAAATTTTATTTAAGTTTTCACATGTCCTCCATCATTAGCAATACAAAGGGTAATACGATTTTGCTGTTCACGGAAAACGTTTGCCAACTGATTTACAGTAATGCCTGAAATCACATTAGTTATTTTAGCTATACTTAAAACTAGGTACATTAAGCTTTATAACATTTTTTTACAGATTATTTCTATCGCAAATACAAATAAAGTTATAAATTTTTTAAAGTGCACACAACTTAATGGGCATCCTGTGTGTGTGTGTGTGTATATACACACACACACACACACACACACCTGAAGTGTGAGAGTCAGGCATGCTAGACAACTATATGTTAAGAAAAACTTAAGACTGGATTACGTAACAATACTACAGTGGCTGCTGCTGCTGCTGAAGTATATACAAGGATGATCATCTCTGGTAATCCAATAAGCCATCAAAATTTGAAAATACGAATAGGATCAAGTATATAGAGAAATAAGATTCTTGAACATGTGATGGAAATGAATAATTACATCAGTCTCTCTTTAACGGCTGCCAAACAATCCTCTAAAATCCTGACTTGAATAAGCCAACTCACCAACTGCCATTTTTTTCTTATCAGCTGCAAAGTTAAAATAAACCCTCATTTTATCTCTGACAGCTGAAAGATGCCACAATGCTTGTTGGCTATTTCCATTGTGCACCATTCATGGCCATTTTACCATGTTACATAACAGAAAATTAATTTCTTTAATTTTTGGCACAGTATTTTGCACATAATCTTTTAATTAATTATTCTTTTTATATTATGATTAAATCATAATCATTTTTCGGATGAGCTCTTTGCTCTGATGTCTAAGCTCTTTAAATTTAAGCGCAATACTAGATTGGCGACAAGGTCTCACCAATTTATAGTTGGGCTCACTAGATATAACTAAATTCTATGCTAACAGTTTCTATTCTCACACCTCTTGCTTGTGGAACTTACTTCCAGCTCCTTACTTTCCAGCCAACTTAAATCTGCAAAAACTTAAATGCAATGTGAATTATGAGAAAATATTTTTTTTATTATCTCTAATGATAATACCAGGCTTTTTGCTACTATAAAAATATATAATCACAAACTCTTAATGCTCCTTTGTTTTGTTTTACATTACTTTTCTAATATTGAAAGATAATGTGTAATGTTTACAGTCTCCACATGTTCTATGCTTTCTGGCTTAATGCTTTTGTACAGTTTTAAAAATTATTCTCGTTTGATCACTTAAATTAGAATGTTCTGATCAGTAATTAAATGACTGGGAATATAATTGCTGAAAAGAAAAGGTGAAGGGCTTTCACAAAATATTCATAGAAATAGCTCAATAATGCTAAATAGCTGGACTCTGTCTTTAAGGTTGAAGAAAAACAAATCCTATTTTAAGATAAATGAAGAAAAATGTCATTAAGTTGACTGAAAAAAAAGACGACCAAAATGAAGTCAGTGTTATTAAATTAATATTTTTATTTTGACAATGTTAATCAAACTTAAACAAAATTTGGTGAATAAAAGATTCTCAACATTGATCCTGTTTATTCATTTTTGTATTATTTTATTGTAAGTTTTTATTTAATAAATATAAATCTATATTTAAAGTACAACTTATTTTTATTGGTGATTAAACGTTTCCAAGCACAATATGGATATTTTGATACATTTGGTTCCCATAGAAACAAGATATTAATGAGTTAAAAATACCTCTACCATTTATGGCCTGATCGTAATCCTTTCAGGATCTGGTGTAAAAGGGGCTTAACTTAAATTACCATAAAATTAATAACATTTAGAAAGCAATCATTTGTCATAAATATTTATTTCTTTTGTTTTGATTTTCAATTTCAGTTAACTGCAAAAGAAAACAAATTGGTTATGGAAGACAAAACAAAGCTGACTGAACATTTCATTCAAACTTTACCTCAAATGTTACTCAAAGTAAGTGCATTATTTGTTTTCGTTTTCGTTTTTTTTTTAAGCAAATATCTGTCAATTACTTTGGAGGTGCTGCTTTTTTAATCAGTTTCTGTTGGATAATTTTCATTTCACAACCCATTGTGTCAAAGAATTTCTTTAAAACAAAGTAGGCGTCATCTTTTATATATCTTCAAAAATTAAAATGCAATGACAATCATTTACCATTTCCTTGAATCCTGTTTATTTTTTTGTCCTTTCCTTAGTGTTTTTTTTTTTTTTTTCCTCAGAGCTTTTCATTCTCAGTAACCTCTTCTCTTGCATCTTAGTGACTTTTATTGCCTTGCTTTTCAGTTGAATTATTAAATGGAACTTGTTAATTTTCCTTGTTAATTTGAAGTTTTTTTGTTTTTTGTTTTTTTCTCTCTCACTCTCTCTCTCTCTCTTTAAGCGTTTCACCGCAAGCAAGGCAGGAAGCTACTAGCACACAAGGGGTTACAGAGAGTTGGAGCTGGAGCAAATAGGAGTGATAGAGGAAAGGATGAAGAGAAGGATAGGGGATAGTTCAAGTCATCTGGAGACATCGATTGACATTACATTTAAATAGTTGGAGATAATAGCTATCAGGGAAACAGGAAGAGGGGGGGGTCCACGGGCGAGACATGAAGCTATTGGAGTAGAAGAGACGCCTACATTTAACAGTTTCGACAGTGTAAAGGTGTGAGTGAGATGCCAGCCTGGTAGAACGCTTAAATTCATGAAGTTTGGAACCAGCAAAAGCAGCTCCTCGGAGCAGTTACCATGAAAGTATTTGTAAAAAAGGCAGAGAGAAGTGACAGCACGTCTGTGAGAGAGTGACTGCAGACGAGATACCAGATCAGGGTCAATTACGTTGCATATCTGTCTCTGGATCTTATCAAGAACTATGAGACAAACATAAGGGGCACCAGACCATATATGGCAGCAATACTCCATGCGTGGGCGAATAATAGTGATTTAGTAAATTTAGTTTAATCTGTTACGTATCAGGGCAATGGGGCACCAAGTTGGGATCAAGCAAACAAGTTCATTGTCTACAAAACAAATTTGTTAACCATTATCCATATTATAAATATTTACTAAACAGTTTAGTCTGGCACAAGAACATTATAATAGGGGCACCAAGTAAAGATTGAGCTTGTTATGTAATACTAGTTTGCACATCCAGTAGGTAACTCACATAAATATTCACTTTGACAAAGGGATACTAGGAGTCAGGTGGTTAATCAAGTAAAGATTAACCCAAGAGTCAAGCTTGTTAGCCATCACATTCCTCAGAATGTGTCCTTTCATCTTTAGATGGAATGTGTTAACTGTTAAAATGTGCAACAAGGAACAATTAAGTGCTTTTCTTAATTTCATTAGTAATATGATCTTTATTTGCAATGTTATGCTATAAATGTTGATATTTTGCTCACCTTTATGAAAAGTAGATGGAAACTGCCTTGTATCTTTTGTTCATATATTTTTCCTTTTCTAGTATTTAATGGATCCAGAAAAAGTCGCTAACCTCTTGCAAATCCCTCAGTATTTTGATTTGGATATTTATACAGCCAGTCGACAGGAAAAGGTAAGATACTAATGAATCTTTTCGATTATACCAATAAGCCTCTATTGACTCTATTGCTGGCATTAATTCCTGACCAATGACAATCCCTTTCTTACTGATTTTTCAATGCATAACTTCTAATAACTTATTGCTCAGATAAATTTTGGATCAAAAGTTACAAAATTCTGTAATTAAGTAATAAAATTTGATACTTGATCATTAATATTACGTTGGTAGCGCTTCAATTTTTGCCTTTTTACACCAAAAACAATGCTTGACAAGCATGGACTATTACAAAATCTTTTGTGAAGGGGTCTAAAATATAGAGCCGTGCTGAAACTTTTTTTTTTTTTTATTTAACAATACAATATTAGATGAGAAGCTTTCAGGGTCTCTTAACCCTTTGAGCCCTGCATTCCTGAACAGTTTTAATCCTTCTACTTGAGCTACTGAGTCAAAATTTGCAAATAATTGGCAAGTAATATTTCACGGTAGATATAAAAATAGTTACAAGTGTTTACTCACCATTCAACCGGTAGCTGGGCTTTGTCATTTTTCTCTACCACCAGCAAAGGCAGTAGTCGGGGCTCACACGGTTAAGGAATTTAGTCTTATATTGGTCAGGTATGATAAGGATCCAATCTTGTATATTCAGCAACTTGAAATGTGTGTTGATATTATTCTTATAAAAATGTTGATTCATGTTGATCTTTAAACATCACCACACTGATGAGCAAAGCTCACATGAAAACTGAAATGGCTAATTTATCCATGTTGTAATCTAAATTATGTTGGCACCAGCCATCATTAACTAACCATTGGCCTATGGTGTACAGCTATTTACACTCCACTTTTCCCAAAACAAACCTGGGACCAGGTAACAATTTGACAAATGACTCATTTGTAATTAATCTTTTTTTTTTCTTTACCTACATTTGCCTATGTAGGGCCAAATTAAAACAAACTGACATTTTGAATTGGGCCATGTTGTAGAGTTCTTGAGTGACAGTTGCAATATGTCCACTTCCCCAGGCTTCCCATTAGCCTTGTTTACATTTGTATTGTTCACATGTGTGCCATGTCTTGAATGTAGCCAGGTTAATCCATTTCATGAATGAGTTACTGGTATTGTTCTTATGGATGTCACTCTATATGATACAGCCACCAGTTCTACTCTATGCATGTCATAATTTCTATTGTTTACCTAGCTGGATCTTGGAGTAATTGGGTAGGCATGGCTACTATTGGATATTACTGCATTATTCAGATTAATTCCAGATTCATATTTCCAGTTTGTTCTATGCCAATTATTTTATTTCTTATGCTTTTATTTTTAGTTTTTTTTTTTTTATTGTTCCATGAGACTTTCAATGTCATGTTAACAACTGACATCTACAAAACTTTAATATTTGTTTCATACTTTTGTTGGAAGGAGAAACTTTTACAGTTTTAAACAAAATTTCTCTCAACTTTTTCATTATTAGTGGTAATATATTCTTTACATTTTTTTGCAGAATCTTGAAGCCTTGTTAAGATATTTACATGAAATTGTAGAAAAGCATACTGACTCTGAGGTGAGATTTTTTATTTTATTTTTTAAATTTAAAAAAAAAATTTTTTATGTAAATTCAGCGATTAAAATTTATTCTTCCACATTTCAGGTTCTTGAAGCTGCCTCAAAATGTTATGAGTGTCTCTGTAGCGAAGAATATGCTATTGGTGGTAAATGTGATGTTGCTAAGAAAACTTTGGTTGATAATCTTGTCTCTAAATTTAAGGAATCGATGCAAGATTTTTTTGCTGAGGTAAGTTCCCTTTTTTTTTTTTTTTTTTTTTTTTTTTTTTTTTTAATATTGATGGAAAAGCCAATTTCTTTTTGCTTTTAGTTGCTACATTAAAAAAAAGATTATAATGATAAAGTCTTGAATCTCCTGTTAAACCATTTTTCTTTCTCGGACACAATCTTCAAATGTAATAATTTACTATTTTTGCTTCCTTTAAAGAAATTGAACGTGGAATATGGTGCACTTTGGGATAGTTTTGCCCAACACTGCAAGTTGCAATAAAAACAAAATATTAAACTAAAAACTTGAGTCATATTCTTAAATAGCCTTGTCAGATTGAAAGTTATATATGGATGTCATGCATGGTCCCAAATACATTCAGAAATGTCTAAACTGTCAGCCATTTTTTTCAGATGATTAAAAATGGCTTCAAGTTAATGAAATCTGTCTTTGCAAAAATCATCCTTCTTTGAACATTGTGGATTGGTGCTACAGTATCACAAACATCTGCAGCAAGTAACAAAAACCACATCACTTGAAGACTACCAACAATAGCAACAACATAGCACATGTAACTTGAAAATAATACATAATCAAGATGTTGTTAGTCCACATTACTTAAAGCAAAAGATCAGGATAGAAGCCTCCATTAGTACTGAAAGGACTTTGAGAAGACTATTTTGCTGAAAAAACGTTTTAATAGAAAGACTATAAATTTCAACCGAGATTAGCTGCTTGATATATTAATACCAATTGTTTCCTTATAAGGAAAAGGTTAATATTATCATTAACATTAAAGATTAGAACAGATACTACATTTTGGCCCCAACCCAATGTCCAGGGAAGGAAGAAAAGTGTAACTTGAGCAGCACTGCTGCTTGGTCAATGAATTCTGAATATTTCCTTATAAGGAAACAGCTCTTTATTATTATTATTAGAGATTAGGAGAACAGATACTACATTTTGACCCCAAACTGATGGCTAGTGAATGAAGAAAAATGTTACTCAGTCATTGAATTCTGAATGTTTTTTTATAAAGAAACAGCTACTATTATCATTACCATTAGAGATTAGAACAGATACTACATTTTGATCCCAACCTGATTGCCAGGGAGTGAAGGAAAGCAAAACTTGGTCAATGAATTCTTCCCTTTTCATAGGGATGCAAAATGGACATGAATTAATTTTATGATTTCTTTATCAAGATATAGTCTGAAGTTTACCCTAATTGGAAATGTAAGCATTTATATCGGTCAATAAACTTGACATGTTGGTACATGAACAAGTAAAAATCGGCACAAACTTTCCAGACAACCCAATATCTTTTGACTTTAAATAACCTAAAAATGGTTGATAACCTGTGAAAAAACAATTTTGATAAGATGAAAGTTGATATGTTTCAATTCATTATGGGAATTTCATGTGACAGCTTTTCTTTTTCTTTTTTTTTTAGGGAGAACAACCTGATGAAGATGAAACATTTGCTCTACTCGCAAGTTTAAAACGAATATTTGCATTTTATTGGTAATTTACTCCATTTGTTCATTTTATTCTTCTTGTAACACAGGTAGCACACATTCCTTTTTATTTATTTTTTTTTTCAATGTACTAACTCTCCTTTATTAAATAAATAATTTCAACATTGTATTCTAGATAAACATTCTGATGAAAAATTTATTATGATCACAAGCAAGATTTTCTTAAAAAAAAAAAAAAATAATTACTTAATTTTTTCTACTCTAAAGGTAGGAAAATGAATATATTTACATAACATTGCAAAGAAAACTTATCAATCAATATCATCTTCTTTATTTTGAATATTAAAATTTTTATTTGCATCATTAATATTTTTTTATCCTTGTTTCTTAAATATTGATTACCATATCTTTTGTTTCTAATTTCCAGCTGTCATGATTTAAGTACCTGGGAATTATGGGATGATGTGTTTCATATTGTGAAAACAGCAAATGACAACAGTGCCATCCCAGAAGAAGTAAGAATTATTTTTCTTTGCTAAGGAATAACAAACAATACGATAAAAAACAGCACTAATAATACTGTACTTAATTTATAAAATAGATTCCTCTGTGTAAATATATTGGTTAACCATAAAGTTAGACAAATTTTTCATTTTAGAACGCTATGAGTAGTTCACCTAAACTATTCTTTATTACTTTCTGTTCATGTAACGCTTATAGTTGCAGGTTAGTAAGACTGTAAGAACAATACTAGAACAAAAGGTTGAGCGAAGAAAAGGGTTTTAATCACACGAGGACATGTATTGAGAATATAGTAGTTCTTTGCAACCCACTTTTTGTCCAGACATTCTACTCATAGTGGATGGATGAGTCCATGTTTCAATAATAACTTTGGACAAGATTAGTCAGTTTTTCTACACAACACCTCCCTTTTTAAGATATGCATTCTCTTTTGGATCTGTCTATATTTCTGAGATGAGGTATTATGTACACTATTTACATTATTCAAACTATTGTCCTCATCTTTGTCTCCATATTTATTGCAACGTTTCGGCCCTTCAGTATCTGTCTATATTTCTGAGATGAGGTATTATATACACTATTTACATTATTCGGACTATTGTCCTCATCTTTGTCGCCATATTTATTGCAACATTTCGGCCCTTCAGTATCTGTCTATATTTCTGAGATGAGGTATTATATACACTATTTACATTATTCGGACTATTGTCCTCATCTTTGTCTCCATATTTATTACAACGTTTCGGCCCTTCAGTATCTGTCTATATTTCTGAGATGAGGTATTATATACACTATTTACATTATTCGGACTATTGTCCTCATCTTTGTCGCCATATTTATTGCAACATTTCGGCCCTTCAGTATCTGTCTATATTTCTGAGATGAGGTATTATGTACACTATTTACATTATTCAAACTATTGTCCTCATCTTTGTCGCCATATTTATTTATTTGGAAAGGGGAATTAACAGAAGATAACTGACATCCATTAGACATGAAACTAGAACCTAACCCTACTGTCACACACATGCAGGGTTGACTGAATTGACCTCAACTAATATACAAACAAACAAAAAAATTCCAACACAAATTACCAAATAAATACTAAATTACTATAAGTAGAGTTGGCGCTTTTTGACCCCAGAATATGTTGGATAATTGTGCTCCAATTTCACATAGATTCCATAATATAGGTTTTGACTTAATTAGCTTTTATGTTTCTCTAACTCTTCAAATGTTGAATGTATAACTAATTCTAATTTCTATTTTCCAATCTTTACACTATATTAAATTTATCTTATAAATTGTCCCCTGTTCTGTCACCCATGAAATAAAAATAATTGTTTGTATGGAAAATAAGGATCTACATGCATCAAATTATCTTTAAATTTAGTGGCAGCAGAAGAATTATCGTTGCACTTTTAAAAGGTAAAAGCTTAAACATTAATTCAATACTTAAATGCAGTGATCAATTTTGCGTTCTTCTATTCTTAGTTGAGGTCAATTCAGTCAATCCTGCCTGTATGTGACGGTAGGGTCAGGTCATCAAAACCCATCTCTGTTACTGTACGTATATGTATATGAACTTATTACTTGACATTTTAACCTTTACAACTCTGTGCTAACTTTCGGAGTTGTGTCCCCTGGATCTACATTAATTTTGGGTGTGTTAAGTTTTTGAGTGGTGGGTATATTACTAGCACTGTAACTTTTAGGCTTTTAGAGATTTTGTTATAAAATGTTCAGGGTATTTGCACAAAAGAATGTAGAAAATGTAGACAAAATTTATTATATGTACAGTAAAAAGAAATCTGAGAAAAATATGTGAAAACTAAAAAAAAAAATATAACAATTGATGAAAAATGATTCCTACTCATCACATTGTGAAAGTCTTGCATATATAAAAAAGAGAGTCTTTTGTCCCGTAAGATGAATACAAAGGTCACTTTATCAAACCTATCAACAAAAGCAAGGCCAAAAATGCTTTCATTTCTTCAAAGCAAATGTTTTGTCCAAGTTCTGATTTGTGAGTTGGGCTTTGCTGTGTCACCAAATTTTGTTTTCACATTTTTTGAATACCAGTTGGTTTCCACTACCATTTTGCCAGATAAAAAAAGACAAAAAATGTCTACCTCACTAGCTTCTTGATCAACATTTGTAAGTCCAGGAGTATAGAAGAATTCTGGTAGCCACAGTTAATCATCTGCTTGTGATGGTTCGAAAATTCTTCCTTCTTGGTCAGAATCACTTTTCAGTCTCGCTGTCACACACATAACCAATATCTGCATGGGTAAATCTATGAAATTCTTCTTCACTGCTCTCACTGTCCATAAAAAAAAAAAATTCCTCTATTGATGTGATAGATCCACGCCTTGCTCTGGAGGTTGTATTTGTGATCAAAAAACTAATGTTTTTAAAACATTTCATTAAAATTCGCTGATAAAATAACTATTTCATTTAGAACAAAATGGCTGATATCTGGTTATTTCCAGTTCGTATCACAAGCTTAATGGTATCATTTCCATAGTAATAGTTTTTTTTAGAAATGTACTTTCCCTTTGAAACAAAGCTCTGTCACTCAGCAAACATGCCCACCTGGAGAATACTGAGAAAGCGTATTAGTTGCAGACATGTACACTTGCAGAGTTGTAACAGTTAAAGGAATATATTCCTTGTATATATGAGTCCCACCAACTAGAGTCGGGCAATCAACACAAATAGACCACTTCATGGTAGTCAGGGAGAGAGGGAGGTACAAGCAGGCAGTGAAATGTAACAAAAAAGTTGACATTACAACCTCTCTTCACCACCCCTTGCAAGAGAAAGCCTGAAAATAATTTTATCATTTAGGTAAAGAATTTTTTCTTTAGACCCAAGACCTAAATTCCTTGTTTGACTTATTAATCAGCCTTGCCTAAGTTACCCTCAGATCAAAAGCTTAAACACAACATAGGTGGAGAAGATCAGTTGGTAGGGTGAGACACTTGGGTAGAGGCCCCAGTCCTATGGGAGACAAGAGATTTAATCATACACTTATGAATTGACTTTATGTCCCAGCCTGTACTGACAATTTATCAAAATCATTGTCACAAAGGAGCCTACAGGTGTATGACAAGTGTACAATATATATGAATATAAATTTGAAAAAAATAAATAATTTTAAATAGATAATTAACATTATTTTTTTTTTTTTCTAGATTTAACTGGTTAAGATTCAGTTACGAGAATTTGATACTTTTTTGTAATTTTTTAAATAAAATCTCTTAAAAAAAAACTGATGTGCCTTTACAAATTTAGTATCTTGTTTAGTACACAATGAATAGGAAAAATTTGAAAAGATAAAATGATTAACAGGCTTTGAAATTGATGCATAATGAAAATGATAAAATTTCAAAGATTAAATTCATTCAACCAAATTAACTCTGATCATTAAATGCTTTGTGTATTATTTTTAATTTAATCAGTATATTATATCAATTAGATTTTTCTATTGTTCCTATTTTATAAATTATCTTCTTTTTTGTATTCTTTCTTGTGCAGGTTATTTGCAAAGCTATTTCAACATGTTCAATGGGCATCATGTGGTGGCTACAGAAATTAGATGAGAACAATCCGGACAAAGTAAGTCATTTATCTCAATTAACATTAACATGTTCCTTTTTCCTCTTTTTTTCTATACAAATATATTATAAGTTTAAAATTTTGAAAATATAATCAATTTAAAGGTTTTTCAAAGTTTGATAACTCAAATTTTGAAAGGGGAAAAACTGTGCTTATCGTCTAAAATTTTCCGGTCAAAAATTTGAAACGTAATGTTTTTATATTATCCATGGATTTTATCATACACTCTACAACAGGGTGAAATATATATATATATATATATATATATATATATATATATATATACACAAAAAACTACTGGCAAGTGAAAAAGCATTTTCACTCGCTAGTAGTTTAACATCACCCAAGGAGACACATGGTGTTAAAACCTGATTATAATTGTATAGCAAATTTTAACATGTTTTTGTTTTAATATCCTAAAGTAAATAATATTTAGCTCTACTCTGTATTGAGCCCAATTTTAAATTAAATGTTACGTACAGTGGAATTATACTCCATTTGTTCCCATTTTACCTGGTGAGATATATATATATATATATATACACACACACACACTGATAGGTATACATCCTGTGTCTCTGATGTATAAAAAATATAAAAAGGATGTAATTAAATCGTATCCATGCGTCCCAGTGACACTCCTAAATTTTTCCATAATTAAAAATGATATAAGTGGCAGAAAGTAGCTTTGTTTTATTTTGAACCGGAAATTTCCACAGAAATATCATGAAAGAATTTACCTCCTTTTTTTCCTCCATTTCAAGCTAACCGTTGTCTGTTTTCTTGGAAACTGAGCAATTTAAATTTGTGAGAAGGTTGGTGAGATGAAATGAATTACACCAGCTGGGGTACAAGGTGGGAGTTAGACGGCTTTAGTTGTTTCATCAAATAAAGCTTTCCCTGTTCCCTTCCCCACTTCATAATCAAAATTTATGAATTGTTTAAGAGAAAAAAAGATGCTTTGAACTAATTCCCAACTTAAATAAATTCATTTTCTTCAAAATAATTTGGGGCCATTGAAAACCTTCCAATACCATTATTGGGGATGGATTAAAGCCATGAGTACCAACAATTCCTTTAAATAATCATACTTACACTTATGTTGTTTTTTAGCACCTAGAAGAAACATTAAAAAAATAAACAAAAATGACCTTTACTGTTAATTTACCCCAAAATAAAAGACCTGGTAACTGGTAATAATAAAGTTACAGGAAAAGAATCCCAGAAAGTCACAAATAATCTATAGTGGCCTATAATATTTGATGTATTTTAGTTTTATTTTACTTTTAACTTTATTTATTCTACAGAAGTTTAAAATTGGGCTTCGTACTGAATAAATTCAAATTATTTTTTAATTAAATTTAAACATTTTTATGAAGTAGTTTTGTATTAAAACTTTAAATTAATAAATTATTGCTTTATGCTTAAAAAGTTCTCAAAGTAATTTTTAAAAACAATTTTTTATAAAAAATGTTTAAATTAATTTTTGCGAAATGATAGGACTCTTAAAGTTTTGTAAATAAAAAAAAAAAAAAAGATTCTTCGGAATATTATCGATTAAGTAATAAATTATCTGATTAAAAAATAAATATTTTAAAACTATCAGATTTAATGGAGTGGGGAGGCAGTTTCATACATTAATTTTAAATAGATTGAACCCTCTTCGGTCACTTTTAAAAACAGTGTTTATCATTATAATTTATTGGGGTGAATTAATATAAGTAAATTTACATTATTGTGGGTGCCTGGATGAATTAACAAAAAAGATCCCAAAACTCCAATATCAGTTTCATTTCGTTTTCTCAAGCAGTGGCTCACAAGATACAAATGGCTTTGCTTTTCAGAAGTGAAATTCATGTACTGTGAAATAAGTTCTATACATAACCAAACAAGGATATCTCTGCACAAATCAAATAAATAAATTAACTTTGCTGTTTTTAACTGAAGTTATGGCCATGTTATTTTGTGCAATTTAGCATCAATCCTGACTTAATATTCCTGTTCTACAAAAAGACTTAAAACTAAGGTGAAGTTTGATAGTCAACAGGATAAAGCAGCACTGGTGCTGTTAAAAACCACTCGCTGGATGGCCCAGGAGGGAGTACCCCTGTCAAAGTTTGAGTCTGTACACAACTTTCTGACAGAGATTGGCATCCCAGATCTTCTACCTCTTGGAAAAACAGTAGCATATGTACATATGCAAGTTGAATTGCATCTAATATGGAAGGCTTTGACAAGCAGCTCTAAAAACAAAAGTGACTAAATCCCCATTTGTTACTGTGCTCGTAGATGAATCTACAGACATAAACAGCTACAAACGCCTTGTTGTAGATGTTCAAATTATTGACCATGTGACCTTTCAACCAAGCACTCATTTTGTTGCAAATAAAGAGTGTGTTGATACAACAGGTGTAGGTATTGCAAAATCCATCCAGGAAGTCATATTAAAACTGGAAATTCCATTAACAAAAGTGATGAGCATGGTATCGGATGGAGCTGCCATAATGACTGAGAGAAACAAAGGCTGCACATGCATACTGCTTAGGTACAACCCCCACATGGTGAATGTGCACTATGTTGCCCACTCCCTGGCCTTGTGCTAGTCCCAAACTAGCAGGCAAAATAAGACACATACAGAAACTGCTGGAAGACCCAATGCTCACTTACAAAGAGCTGCATTCCATCTGATGGCTCTTCAGGCTGTGCATAGGACAATTGATAGCCTGCTGACATACTTTACTGAAGTGTCCCAGGATTTCAGCAAAGACCCAAAATTAAATGGCCTTAAAAAAGAAAAAAAAAGATTGCAACAGAAAAGTTCATCAGCATCACTGTTCTCATGATGGATGTCATAGCCCCGGTTACAATCTTATCCCAGTTCCTGCAAACAGAAAATGTGGATGTAGCTTTAATAAAAGTAAAATTAGATATTGCTATAAAGGATCTGGAAAAGATCAAGGAAATGACATCTCCCAACCTGACAGTATTAGCCAGAGACATCCAAGGTAAGGGTAAGCATCATATCACAAAGGCCCCATTCAATCTGGAACAACTGTTATTTATCAATAATAACTTGATAAATAACATACACTCCGGGTTTCCAAACACCTCTCTGTTGTGTGCATTTGGTGTGTTAAGTCTCCGTCTCATCTGCTTCATGAGTGAGGAAGAGCTGAAGGTCTATGGAAAGGAGGAGTTCGAAATTCTAATTTTCTACTATGAATATTAGCAGACCCACAAATGGATTGAGAATAGAGAGGATTGCCAGATGACTATGCAGCCCCTCATCAATGCTGTTCAGTCTCGACTGGAGTGGGACCAGCTGAAGAAAGTTGTCAAAGCACAGCACTACCCCAGAGGCAGCATGTGGAAACTTTGGGTGCTGGTAACAAAATATCACCTAAAAGACTTCCCTGACCTCAGCATCCTTGCTCAACTGGCCACCATCTTGGTTGTATATACAGCTGGCTGTGAATGAGGGTTCTCTGCTCAGAACCTCATCCTCACCCCTCACCTAAACGGGATATCATTGGAGCATCAAGAGCAGCTTCTTAGGGTCAACCTGGGACCCAAAAGGTCAGAGTTTCCTTTCGAAGAGACACTAGCCAAATGGAAAGGGGTAAAGAAAGCAGAAACAGCTGTACACTATGGATTACAAGTAACCATTGACAAATGATCTTCTCATTAATCTTCTCAGAATACACCACAAACATACCTGCATCATTTGATATTTTCATTGTTGTGTTAAATGTTTCATAGTGATTGACTTGGTTAATTTTCTCATCAATTAAAATCAAATTTAATTTAATTGATTATTTTCAGACTAAAAGAGCTTGATGACATTTTGTAGACTGTCAAAGATGATGAGAATGTTTTGTTCATGTACTAAAATCAGCACTTATTATTTATTTTGGTGCTACAGTCCCCATTTTGTTTTAAGTTGAAATTGTGCAATATTTTGTTCAAATAACATATACTCACCTATTTTATTTCGTAATTTATTTCAGTGTTATTTATGTTAGTACAAAAAAATTTTCTTTAAATTTTGTACCCTACAGAAAGTTGGGAGCATCACTGATTAATTTTAGCCCCACATTTCTAGCTGATTCAAGGGAGATTACTTAGATTTTTAGAGGACAGTTCACCTAATCTAATTTGTTTTTTATAAGAGTCAACACAGCCAATTTATTAATTTAATTTACAAAAACAAAACAACTTGTTCTGTTATAATTCTCAAAAAATATACTTTATTAATTGAACTGTGATTAAATGTAAATACTGTTTTCGTTTTAAATTTATTTAATTTAAAAATAAAAATTTTCTGCAAATTTAAAAAAAAACAAAAAAATAACTTGTTCTGTCATAATTCTCAAAAATTACAGTTTCTTAATTGAACTGTGATTAAGTGTAAATACTTTTTTTTTTTAATGTAAGAATTTAGAAAAAAATTTGTTCTGTCAATTTAAGTGATTCAGAATGATTAAAAATTTGGCCTTTCTGATTTTTTTTTTTTTTTTTTTTTAAATATTATTCTGGAGCCCTGCAGTTTAATTACAATTTATTAAGAAACTATAGTTTGGACCAATAGAATTACCTGGGGAGCCATTCAAATCAAATCCAAGGATCCCAGGACCCCCTAAATTAAAAATTTATCAGCATCACTCTGTGTGTGTGTGTGTGTGTGTGTGTCTCTCTGTGTGTGTGTGTGTCTCTGTGTGTGTCTCTCTCTCTCTCTCTCTCTCTCTCTCTCCATGTCTTTGGTACCTGTCTACCACAGACAGAAATGTTCTACTGTAGAAGTGTTGATCTCCAGAAGTGCTGAATTGAGTAAGGAGATTGTTAAAAAAATTTTTTTTTTTTTATAGCTTTATCGACTTAAACATTCCTATATTTTATCAACATTATTTGCAATGCATAAAACAGTTATTTTTAAAATAAAGTTGAGATTGTCATAAAAGTAAATAAAAAATATTTCACTTCTCAGATTGACTCTACTACATAGTTTCAGGGTTTAGATTTTTGAATATCAAAAGCTGCTAGTTTACAGGACTTCACTCTTAAACAAATGCATTGATATTGTGTTTACTTTCTTTCAGTTGTACTTTTTTTTTTCTCTTTCTTTTTTTCATCTTGTGCTTTCTATTCAAGAAGCCATCATTGCCTTCTTTTTCTAATATTTTGTTTTTCATTCTTTTCAGGAACAAATGAGAATACTGAAATGTCGACTGAATGATTTGATGAAGCATTGTAATGAGTTGATTTTTCATTCACAAGATAAAGTTAGTGAAGAGGTAAATAATTCTGTAATTATTTGAGGAACTGCATCAAAAACCGAGACTCATTAAATGAGAAAAGAAATCTATAAGAGTGCCAGATAATTCTGTGTTAATTGAAACATTGAACAACTCTTCTGTCTTTATTCTATCAGCTATTAAATAAATATTTCCAAATGAACATCAGGAAATAAGAGTCAATAGTTGCAACTGATGTACTTTTCATATTTTAATTTAGTTCAACCTAAAGCAATTGACAGATTTCATTATCAGGTCTCCTCCTTTCTGAAAAATATTACAGAGACATGATGTGTGTCTCATAATCAGAGTTTAAAGGTTGTTTTACCAGATAAAACCTGCAAAATGAGAATACATGAAAAGTATGTAACCCGTAATGTATTTTATAGATGTATATTTAGGGATTTTGTAAAAGTCCCTAAATATACATCTATAATTTGCCATATTTCATCCTTAAAGTTATAAATCTATTGCATGTGCATACACACAAGGGATCATAGGGGCTCAATGCACAGAAATGTAGAAAGTGGAGACTATATTATGTTCTCCATAAAAAAAATGTACAAACCGAACCAAAGCAAAATATGTACCTAGAGAGAAAGGGAGATTTTATTGACTCAATGTGTTTGTGAAGAATTGCTCATCACAAACTGGACTAAAAAAATTGCATTAACCCTTTGAGCCCTAACCATTGCTTTACCAGTAGTAGAGGAAAATGATGTAATGCTGGTTGAATGATAGGTAAACACTTGTAACTATTTTTATATCTACTGTAAAACATTACGTACCAATTATTTGCGAATTTTGTCTCAAGCTCAGGCAGAAGGGTTAAAATTGTTCAGAAATGCAGGGCTCAACGGGTTAAAAAGAAAAAACAAAGAAACATGGAAATTTTAGTTGTCTTCTTTGGATGAACTGGGACACAAAGAAAGAATTCTGGCGATAAAGTGAAGGCATGCAATCATATTCTCTCCCTGCTAAATATAATGCTTATATTTTTTGTAAATATTTTTATATCTACCGTGAAACATGGCTTACTGATTATTTGTGAATTTTGACTCGGGGGCTCAGGCAGAAGGGTTAAAATTGTTCAGAAATACAGGGCTCAAAGGGTTAAGAGCCATAAGCAAACAAATCGGGTTTGAATATAAATGTAACTGCCAATAGGAAGACTTGATTTATACATTTTTTACATTATTCGGACTATTGTCCTCATCTTTGTCGCCATATTTATTACGTTTTGGCTGTTGTACGCTCCGGCCTTCTTCAGGTGGTTGGAATGTCAAACTGAACCCTTTATTTTGCTCATTGGGGTAGACTGTTCTAGTTCCACACCCCATGTTTAATGGATGCCAGTTATCAGTTATCTCCTGTTAATTTCCCGCTGAAAGTTCTCCACTCCTTTAACCGGGTATTGAACTCACACTCTTTGGGTCCTGTCACTGGATCTAACCAACGCCTTTATCCACTGTGCCATGTGTCCTTGAGGACAATAGTCCAAATAATGTACATAATACCTCATCTCAGAAATATAGAAAGATACTGAAGTTGTAAGATACTGAATGTTGTAAGAAATATGGCGACAAAGATGAGGACAATAGTCCGAATAATGTAAATAGTGTACATAATACCTCATTTCAGAAATATAGACAGATACTGAAGGGCTGAAACGTTGTAATAAATATGGTGACAAAGATGAGGACAGTAGTCTGAATAATGTAAATAGTGTACATAATACCTCATCTCAGAAATATAGTCAGATATTGATATTACACATGTTTGTGTTACAAGCATTTTAAGAACAATTCTGCTCTCAACATCATAAAATTCTTTTTCTAGTTTTAAGAGTCACTAGTTTGCTGCCCCCTCTTGTTTCACTTGACAGAATGAGGAGCAAAGTTCGATTTTGTGCATTTAAAATACATTTATCAGAAAATATATTCAGTTTAAATACAAAAGGAGCACTAAAAAGACTTCAAAGGGCCAGACATTTTGGCTTAATTTCTTTTACTGTTACACTGGTGTTGTTGCAAGACATAAGGAAAATTAGCCCTTATGATACATATGTGCATTTAAATTTTGTTCAAATTGTGTGTGTATGTATAATTAAATTCAATCACAGACCTAATTATTTAAAAAATAATTTAAATAATTCTATTTATTATTGAATAATTTATGAAAAATTCAATAAAATCTTATATGCTTTTCAAAAAACATTAGGATTTTATTGCTCAGCTATGAGTATGGATTGTCTAGCCTGAATGTGAGGAGAATGTATTATTCTAATGTCTTATTTTAAACTCGGTCAAATTGTGTGTGTGTGCTTGAGTATACATTAAGTGGCAGCCAGTCATGCATGAGGCAGATATACACAACTTACATATGTGTGCAGTCACAGGAAATCAGCTCTCCTTTTATAATAGAAATTGCAGAGCCCATGAGCAAGAAGCAGAAGCATTAAATTTTCTCATAATCAAATGGACTGCCATCATATCTTCACATTTAGCCCAGAATAACTTTGTTCTTGCTTGTGGTCTCATATAATTGGTGCTGCCAGATATAAGCAGTTTAGGATAAACACATTCTTGCTACAAACTCCTAACAGGATTCTCAAATATGGCTTTAAAATTTTCTTCTAAATGCATAAACTTGTTTGGTTCTGAAAAGCATAAAATATTACAAAATTTTATTCAAGCTAATCCCTTAAGGGGTTAAATTCTGTTGTACAAAGGATTAATTCATGTAATTAAATCTTACCTTGTCTAAAGTCACAAATCAATCACTTAATTCCCACTCTTTTTTTTTTTTTAACTTCATTATTTTTTTTTATTTTTTTTTTTTTAGTCAGTTTAAGTTCTATCTTCATGATTTCATATCAGCTTTTAACTTGTTGAAACAACCAAAGAATAACAATTCATGATCACCTGAAAGACCCTTTCCTGCCTCTCATCATCATGGCTGATGCTAATGAGAATGACACCTTTCACCTTCTCAGCTGACAAGTTTTTAGAAAGACTGTATTTCATTGCTAGGTCAGATGCAGAGAATGTTGGTTCATTGTTGTACTAGACAGTTTTTCTCTCTTGAATCTATCTTTATGTGTCTACCATTTGTCCATGCCTTGAATATTGCTGCCACATAAGGTCTGCTGCTCCTGCTATATCCAAAGAATCAGCAATATTATCGGTCCTGACCTGGCATCTTGGCTTTAGTCACTTTTCCACCCCCATAATAATGTAGCTTCCTTGTGCTTTTCCTATAAATATAAATAAATAAATAACCTTGTGCAAATTAATTGAAACAAAACAAATAATTCCATTATTTACTTTTTATTTTTTAATATTTTTCCAATGAAACATGACCGAGTGCATATGTTAGTATTTCATATGTCCATTCCACAAAGTCTTTCCTTGCAGATTGACTACAGATTCTTGATTGGATTTAAATCAGGAGTGTTTCCAAGCCAGTCATTAGTACTTTGATTTACTCACTGGTAAGGCTTGCCATTGTGTTCATACAGCATTACAATTTACATACGCTTCCTTGGAGTAATGCTGTAGGACAACTAATCAACAGTCTAGACAATAGTGTCTGGGTGTGATGAAAATCTGATGCAATCACGGATGATGCAATATTTTTCAAGGCCAAACAAATTTCATCATACACCCTGAAAATAGATTCATATTACTGCACACCACTTCAGATGACCTAATCTGAGGAAAAATTAGAAATCGATTACACCCTGTCACTCCAGTTGGTCTAAAAGTTGATTGATGAAAGAAAGGAAACTAAAGTGCTTGCTTCAATTAATTTGCACAAGGACCTACTTACATGGTAATTGTTCGGATAAGTTCTTCACTATAGTACCTAGTCTTTATGAATTAAAGTGCAGTACTAGATCGGTGGCAAAGTCTCATCAAGTCATGGTTGAATTGGCTAGGCATAAACCATAAATTCTAAGCTAACAGTTTCTTCTCTTGAACTTGTTGCATGTGTGGAACTCTCTTCTGGCTCCATGCTTTCCAGTCAACTTCGGCCTTCAAAAATTTAAATGCAATGTCAATTATCTGCTGTCCTCTTGATTACTCTTTTATTGTTCTCGCTCCTTAATAATGATTCTCTTTTTTCTTATTCTTTCACACTCAGTAACCCCCTTGTGTCTTAGTGGCTTTACTGCCTTGCATGGGGTGAAAAAAAAATATGTAATAGTTACAAATGATCAATTTATGAAAAATAAACTTTGAATACCAAGAACCTTTTTAGAAATGTTTTCTGAAATGAACCATTATCATTATTATTTTCTGAAATGAACCATTATCATTATTATTTTCTGAAATGAACCATTATCATTATTATTTTCTGAAATGAACCATTATCATTATTTCACATGTTACTTCCTCTTCCCTTTCTAAATAGACTGTTGGCTTATGTACAGTTTGGCTTCAAAACCTCTGTACATTAAACACACACACCTTTAATTTCAACTCCCACCCATTTTCTATAAAGAAAAGACGTTTGCTGACTACCAGGCAAAATTAATATGTGTGAATATTGTGAAATTACTGCATAAATTGATTTAATATATTCCAATAAAAAAAAAAACTACCTGCTGAATTATGTAATTTTGAGATCCACTAATACTGGAATAAATTTGGAAGAGATCAGCATAAAGCTCTGGGAAACAAACCTTGGAAAAGAACAGTTCAACCACACACCACTCCCACAAAAAAAATCAGTCAGAATACGTAATCAGTATGAATAACATCAGAGTAGTTTTCAACAGAAGAGCTACATTATACCCACCCTTATAAAAACCAGACCTCACTACATGAGCTGATATTAAACTGTGTGTAAAACATCCTGTGAATTTATAGTTGGGAATATTCAAATAAAACCATCTCCAAAATATTTGACTTCAGGATTCCAGACCATAAAATCAAGCATGGCAGACCCTATATGGAGGGATAAAGAAGCACAATGTATCAATTTGTTAAAACAAAATCAAATGTGAAATATAGTATTTAAAAATGTTTAAAAAAAGTAAGAAAAAAAAAATTTGTATCTGTTTTTACACATGTATATTTTTCTTCTCTTCACTGTCTGATCCAAGAATTTTACTTGTAAGTACAAGTCTAAATTATTTCTGTTAAAGAGATAGTAAATATTGGTAAATACTGAAGAATATTTGAATGTCACATATTCTTGGAGAGATCTGAATGACATTGGTTGATAGAAAAAAAGATCAAAGATATAGATGCCAATATAATTTGTGGAATAAAGTCATTCCAGACTTTATCCATATATTTCTTTAAATTTCTTGCTTATTATTTCACAATCATTTATTTGAAATTTACCAATTTTGCATTTTTCATAATTTTCACTTTTTTACTTTTTTGTAGGCTTATATTTCCATTTGTGATTTGCTGATTGTTTTCAGCAAACACCTTGGAGAGAACGCTTTACTGAAACCTCTTGTCTATGAACCAGACAAGAGTCTACAATCACAACTCAGTGGATTCCTCACAGATAAAGTCTTTGTAGAAGATGATGATGGTCAGTTCACTTTCAAAAGTCACTTTTAACACTAGAATGGACAACACATATTTTTGATATTAGTTTTACAAACTATGAAAGATTTATATACACAATTCGCCAAGATAGTGTCAGTATGTTATTTTAACTCTAGTATAGAGCCAAGTAGTTGGAATAGATATCTTCTTTTGACATCAAAGTAATGTCTGTCATTATGCAAAAACTATCAGAAATAATAGCTTGATTCTTCTGAATCAAGAATTAAAAAAATGCTTAGAAATGGATATTTTATTTTGCATTTTAGTTTATGAAGCAAAACATGTCACATATTTTGATTGGTTAAAATTGAATTACTGATTAGAGTTTGCTGTCTTTAAATTAGTGCTATAAGTGTTTTCAGTTTTAACTTGATATTTCTTGACTGCATCTTGTTTGGTTGTCCAATTGAATCTGTTTCTTGTCACAGAAAACATGGATGAAAATGTAAAAATTGAAGAACTACACAAGAAGAGGAATTTCCTTGCTGCCTTTTGTAAATTAGTTGTTTACAATATAATCAGCATTCGCATTGCTGCAGACATGTTTAAGCACTACATGAAGGTAAGTATATAAATGTTCATCATTCAGATTTTTTTTTTTTTGTGTGTGTGTGTGTTTAGGGTGGCCAGATTGAACAACAATTAGCAAATTTAATCAAATTTAAATTTTGAATACATTTTTTTTTCTTAATAGTAGTCTGGGTTAGCCCAGTTTATTTTTTTAAAAAAAGTAATGTAAAAGGTTGCAAGTGGCAAAATTTAAAATTTAGTAGCACCATGTTTTTAAAATTTAGCAAACTTCATTCTGTTTCTTGTTTTGCTTTTAAATTCTCCTCTACTGGCACCATTTGGCCCCCTTTTTTAGGGGCATAGTCTTTAGCATAAAATTGATGCAATTAAAAGTTCAAACTTGATTGCAAATGGGATTTCATGATACATGTCTACTTGAGAGCCGTAGAGCTTTTTTTTCATAAGCTATTAATGTAATGAAGGTTGAATTTTCATTGAATGCCCCACTGTTGGGCCCTTGTGCCAAACTAAGTTAAACTTAGTGGAGATCTACATTTTCAAATAATCTCTGTGTAACTGATGTTTATCCAAATCCTCACCAAACGAGAAATGACAAACATGGTCTTTGTGTGTATATGAAAGATGAGGGTGAGTACAAATCCTATCAGAATATGCATGTGGGTGGTAGGGTTAGTGGCTTGAAGCAAGAAATCAACAAATCAAGTCCATTACATTCACTTCTGCACAGCTACTCTCTTCCCTCCTCTCCCCCACAAATATGGGTTAAATAGTATGTCAGACTATGCTCTTTAGCCTTGGTTGGTAACTAGCCTAGGAGAACAACTACTCTGAATTCAAAGCCAGTTGGATATGGGACTAGCAACTCCATCCCATTAAAAACCTACTTGATATGAAAACTACAGCAGTAACATCTAGTGGTGCTAATTTTCAAATAAATATTGGTTTACAAATTTGGTTGGCTTACCTTTTATAAGCTGAAATAAAGCTGTCATGATTATTTGGTGCCTTGAGATGAATTTATGGTTAATGAACTAGTTACTGAATACAGTACTGATGTGTACTTTTGTTTTATTCTCCCTTAGTTTGCCATCCCCACTTGTGGCCTTGTCACACTAAGCTTAATTAATCCTTTTAATTATACAAACTTTTTAAATTTTCCTTTTATGTATTTATTATTCCAATAATGCAAATATCATTTGAATTTCAATGTAAACTTGTTCATTTTCAATTCTTTTTTTTTTTTTTTTTTTCAGTTTTACAATGATTATGGAGATATTATCAAAGCAACTTTAAGCAAAGCCCGAGAAATTAATAAAGTGGTCACTGCTAAAACACTGGCTTTCAGTCTTACTCAGGTCAGTTTTAGTACATTATTTTTTTTTCATGGATTACTCTTAACTGTTCTAATGAGGTTTTCTTTGTCTTGTGACAATACTTAAATTGGACAAATTTATTGAATTAATTTTTAGTATTTAATCTATACTCTATAGAAACCAGTATGAAAATACGTTATCTTTAAACATTAATAGTGGGTGGGGGTACTTCCAGATTTTTTTTGTTTTAAGAGCTGTTGGGAATTTTTGTACACACTTAATGGTTCTCAATGCAATGCATTAATGTAAAAAGTCTTTTTAAATCCATTTTGTACATGTCAGCTAAATTTGGGTTGACATTCAATTGTTTTCTGGGATCAAGAATAAAATTGAATTGGCTTAAAATATTTAAATAATTTTTTATTTAAATGATTAAAAATAAATCTTTTTTCAATTAAAGAAATTCTAGAGAGAATAATAAGAATTATAGCAATGTTTTATTATTTATAACCTTGAAAAAATACCAAATTTTGTTCAGACCATTGCACCCTTTCATCTTTTTGACATTAGCATTTCAGCCAGTACATACCTCAACCCTTGTCAGGTGTAGAAAAAAAAAAAAAAAACCTTTTTTTCTCTAGCAAAATGACAAATAGACAAAAGGATCTTAGTTAATATTTCAGTTGCATTGATGTATGTGCTTTGTTTTGTTGCAGAAGATGAAATGATTTTACATTTAATGACTGAACATAATTATTAATGATGATTAATGCTTTTTTTTTTTTATTCCAGCTCTTTAAAGAAGTCCAGGCTGAACAGCCAGTCATAGATAGGTCTTCCGATAGTTTCCAGGCCATCAAAGTAAGTCATTTTTTACTTTTATTCTATAAAGTAATACATTTAAAAAAAAAAATTCATGTTTTTGATGCCTGACTGTGAAAACATTTTTAAAACTCTCTTGTCTCTCTGCAAAGAAAATCTTTTCTGGTCATGCTTTATATTTAAAAAAAAAAAAAAAATCATTATAAAAACTAGAAAAGAACTTTTTCCAGCAGAAGAAATTTTTAATTTTACTGCAGAGTGGAGAAAAGATGTCAGAAATGTAGAAATTTCTATCAGGTTTCTATAATGTTTTAAAAAAAAAAAAAAAACTACTGAGACAAAAATCTATTTGTTACAAATTGACTGATTATACAATCAATCTGTAACAAATAGATTTTTGCCTCAGTATTTTTCTTCAAAATAACTCATAAATTTAAGCTGATGTTTGAAGCCATTTAATTCCGTAGCCTGAGGTTAAATAGCAGGTATCAGTTTAGTAAAAATGATGCTCAGAATAATTAAATTTTTAATTTCAAGACAAAGAGAGATTATTTTTAATGTAATAGTTTGTAACTATAAAAGATTTGATGATCATGTTTTATCATTAAAATGTTCCCAATTATTTTAATACCAATAAATCATATATTACATATGTAAGATTTCTATCAACAAATAAAATCATTTTACACTTGATCCAATCCCTGTCACAATATTTACAAGCGATGGGTGGTGAAAATGGAACAAATTCTCAGTGATTTTACTGAGTGACTCAGGAATGTGATTGCTATATGTCAGCCCCTTTCAGGAAATAAATATGGCAAGAACATCTACACAAATGTCATCAAACCAATCTTCAGAAACACCAACATACAAATTGACTATTCTGGGTTTGACTCAAAATTCAAGCAAATATCACCTGAAGAAGACCAGAGCATACAATGGTCAAAACATTGTGAATGGGACAAAAAAATAAATGAGAGAAAGTCCGAACAGTGTAAATAGTTACAATACTTCATGTCAGAAATATAGACAAAATAAAATCAACATCTTCATTCTCTTTAATAATTACTTATATAGTAATACAATAGATACTAAAAAGAGTAGATACCAACATTTTTAAATTTGTGTGGACAGATATAGTAAATATTAATAATTTAAAAGCTGAATATTTCTACCTTAATTGTAGGCTCAGTAAATCTTAAATTTTTCTAAATTATTTTTAACTTATACGATTGCTCCTCTTCATCTAGGTTCTAACTTATAGTCAAATCATGCTGAAACACTGGTTCTTGTTTAATCATCGAAGTAGTGTCAAGTCTGGTCATACTCAGATGGGAGACCGCTTGGGAATACTGGGTCAGTCAGTTATGTGCCATGCGTGATACATGCTTAGGCGATCATGTATGTTTTGATACATCACTGACAAGGCAGATTTTTTTCCCCACAATAGGTTGCCATTTCTTTCTGCAGTAGACCAATTACCATCCAAGGCTATGGAACACGGTCTGTCCTGTTATTTATCCATAGCTTTGGGGGGAGGATTCATACCTTTCCCAAGGGTATTAGCACATAAGTGAATGTAGTGGATTTGACAGGAATTCAAACTCGACTCTCCAATTCCTCAATCCAAGATGCTATCCATTACTCCACTGTACCTCCTGGGTGCTGTAAGTAAAAACCAGTTGGCCATTGGAATAGCACCTTCATCTCATAAAACCTTACTGACTATGAAAACCACAGCAGTAACATTTAGTGTTGAGAGCTGTGACCCCTACCTCCCAATCCCTAGTGGGGGCCTTCCAGACTAAAGGATAAGGATCTAGGTTCTATGGATGCCTTTGATAAGTTATATTTTAAAATTCTTTTTAAAATACGCTATTATTATGTCATTATTACATTTGCATCCATCTCACAAAAGTAATATTAAAAGTTGAATTTAATGATTTAGCTGCTGAATTTTTCTTTTTTAATTTATTTTAATAACCTAAAATCGGTGACAGTTTCTCTAGTCTATATGTATGTTGTTCATTGAAAATCAAGAAGAAAGGTATTGTTGGTGGTCAGGAATTCAAGCATTATTAATAGACTAAAGCTGTGCATAATTAATAGCAAACTTTTTTTTCTCAATTATGCTGTTTCAACATCATTTTATTTAATTATTGTTATTTTTAGGAGTTGGCCCGAAGATTTTCCCTATCATTTGGTTTAGACCAAGTGAAGAATCGTGAGGCTGTTGCTGCCATGCATAAGTATTGTCACTTATTATTCAGTTTTTCAAAGACATTCTTTTTTTATGTTGTTTGAAGATTCTGAGATTCAGTGGGGTAGTGTTTTTATGTATATTAGTCTAAATGATTCCTCAAACCATGACTTCATCTCAGAACTTCAACCAACAATATTCCTGTAATTTGGCATCTGACCTTTTCACAGCCAGAAGTATTTTAACTATAGCCATGGCTGTATTTTGCTTAAACAGAAACTAGTTTTTAAAACTTCTCAAATTTAACTTTGCAAAAAAGAAATTGAATAAATGCTTTAAATTTTTTATTATTATTTCTCTATAATTTATTTAGTGATAAATGCAAAAAAATATGGTTTTTATTATTATTATTAATATTTCATTATCAGAGTCAATATTAAAGTAAAGAACTCGTCAAGTATTCAACCAAATTGCTATTGTAAATGTTAGGTGTCTAATATGTTGTGGGGTCAGAATTTTTCTCAATATGCAATAAACAGAAAGATTCTTAAAAAAGGTAAGAGACAGAAAATCATTTAAAGAGTCAAAAAGGTATAATCTAAGTAAAGAACCGTAAGTTATCAAAGAATGTAATAACATGGTAATTCTGGAAAAAGAAAAAAAAATGAATGGGACACTTTTTGACACTGCAAGTAAATACGTGACAACAAAAATATATTTACTACTTTTCCTTCCGTTAACCTGTTTTTTTTGTTTTTCTTTTTAGGGAAGGAATTCTATTCAGCTTGACACCCCTTACCAATCCTAATGATCCTAAAGGAATTCCACCAAACTTGGCATTTTTGGAAATTCTTTGTGAATTTACCAACAAACTGATGAAACAAGACAAAAAGACAGTGTAAGTTGAAATTTACTGATTCTCTTTTAGATTTAGTTTATTCTCTAAAAAATAATTCCTCTTTTGATTGAAGATTTGATTTCGATAACAAAAAGTCCTAATGTTTTTAAGTTCTTAAAGTATTTTCAGTATTAATTTTTGAATGAATTTACTTACGTCATGTTTTTATCACAATTGTTATGACATAATGGCAACCCATATTTGTCCTTGGTCTTTTAAGAAGAGTAGTTTTTGTGCAAATCGGTTATCAAAATGTCAGTGTTGTGAAATCAATGGTCAAATTGTAACAAAACCTCATTGATAACAAGCTAACAGATTTGTTTCCGATATAATGCAGTAGAAGAAACTGGAGAGGGGAGAGACAATTCCACTTAGGCTGCTTGAGAATAGTGAGAGAATGAACAAATAGACAAGTGCAATATGCACATTGAACATTGACCAACTCACATCTTGTATCTGTCTATATTTCTGAGATGAGGTATTATGTACACTATTTACATTATTCGGACTATTGTCCTCATCTTTGTCGCCGTATTTATTACGTTTCAGCCGGTGTACACTCCAGCCTTCTTCAGGTGGTTGGAATGTCGAACTGAACCCTTTATTTCACTCGCTGGGGTAAACTGTTCTAGTTCCACATGCCATGTCTAATGGATGTCTTATCAGTTATCTCCTTTTAATTCCTCTCTCCAAGTTCTCTACCACCTTAACCAGGTATTGAACTCACACTCAAGGACATATGGCACAGTGGATAAAGGCGTTAGTTAGATCCAGTGACAGAACCCAAAGAGTGTGAGTTCAATACCTGGTTAATCTTGGGAACCTGTCAACTTTTCTTTAATGTGTGACTGACTCAGGCTTGCAACATATTGACTTTGAACTTAGGATTTCTTCAGATTGTCTAAACATAACATAAATGGAAGAGTTTCTGTTCAGGATATTACCAATCCAGAACATGAGCCCATCCCCCCACCTACAGTGTTAGATTCAAGGATCCTGACCTGGTTACCACAGATAATCTCAGCTGTAGTATTTCATTTTTATTCTGTAGTGTTAGATCTGGATCCAGTGACCAGAATAATATCACTCTTCAGATCTTAATCTCATCCCAAAAGCTCAAGAATTACAGCCAGCACAGTGTTATATCCACCAATATGAAAATAGCTTTCTGTAAGATTTGAACCTTCATCCTATATTTTGAGAACACACCTATATAGATATATACAGACTCTTTGATTTGGCTGCAGAAACTTAAAGGTTAAGTCCCATTTTCCTTTACCATTAACACTTCTGTTCAATTCCACATAAGAGCCAAGATCATGAATGGCCATAAAATAAGTGTTGTGATAAAAACCAATGATAAAATGAAAGAAAAACTAGTGAAACATTAATGACAAGAAATGTGTTTTATTTCTGTTAAGTGTATTTGACATGAAATATCACCAGCAAAAATTCAAGAAAAGGAACTTGAAAAAAGTTTGCCTAAGTTTTTTTCATAAAATTACTGATTAAATACCAAGAACCATAACACTGAATCTGTAAAAAGCTATTGTGGTGAATAAACCTGGCCAAACAGTCCCTATTTCTCATCAAAACTAGAAAAGATATATATATATATATATATATATATATATATATATATATATATATATATATATATATATAAATGGTGCTAAGATATTGAATGTATCTAATTTGGTTAATCTATTTGCAATTGTTGATTATTCAGGTTGAATTATCTGGACAAACATTTGCCAATGGGTATACCTACTGACCGCTCAGACAATGAGTACCAACCTTTAATTGCCTACCGAAACAGTTTAGTTCAAGGAGAGCATGAGATTCATCCAATTACCCTGAGACAGGCAACCCAAAAACGGTATGGAATCAAGCGCAAGACTGATGCAGGTAAGTCTCAGTTCTCATTTACCTTTATATAAAGCTGGAACATTAGAGGCCGGACAGACACCTTGATATTTTGTAATTATCTAAAGTGACAATGTCTTTTACAAGAGGTAATGTTTTCTTTTAGCATCTGGTGATGAAACGATGGATGCTGCTGCCTTAGCTAAAGAAGCCAGTAACAGAGCGGCAGCAGCTGCTGCCGCATCAGCAGTAATTGCAGCTGCACAAGCATCAACCCTGTCGACTCCACAGCTTCCAGTGCCTCCAGTTACCAAAAGGAGAAAGATTGATGATGAAACTGAGAACAATACGACCACTACACATGAAACGTCAGAGCGTGTCTCCGAGGAAGATGTCCAGGATACGTAAGTAATTTGCATGTCTCTTTCTAATGTCTCCTTATGTTGAAATTTATCAGTTTGAATTGTAATGTTACAATGAAGTTAAGAAAATAGGAAAGATCCTACAAAGTTTGACAGCTTGAGGTTAATGTTGTGTTCTGTAGTTTCCCTTCCTCTTTGTTGATAGCAGCATTAAAATCAAACTGATGAACTTGATGATGTAATCATTTTACTTGTAAGCAGATCCACCCACGATATTTGTTATCATTTTGAATGTTTGTAATATAGCAACAACTCTAAGTAGAAATTTGACTAATTCAGCTTTAGCAGTGAAAACGTTTATTTTATTATAGTGGATGATTACAAGCAAGAGGGGCAATGGGATGTGCTTACCACAATGTTTATTGAAGATTTATTGTTAATTTTTATATGATTAAGATACTGGCCTGAATGACCCATCTTCCCCATTTGTCAACTGGGCTTGGTGCCAATTATATGGTGGCTGCCATGCTGTGAAGTTTTTCCTTCTTTCAGAGCAAACTTCCTTTAGGAGTGTGTTACCATACAGGGCTAAATTACTCTCACTGTTCTGCTATTAGGGAAAATGGCATATGTCCTTTCCCAAAGGATTGCAATATGAAAGTAAGCAAACTCAGTTGGCCAATTCCATTTTCTGGGCCAATAACCATTACGTCATTATCCTATTAAAAAAAACAAAAGGTCAGACTTACCTGCTACTTAAGGCTGCTGATTAGGAGGTTTTGAGGAATGTGGGACTACCTCTTAATTGCTGTTGTTCCCAGGTACACTCCCAGCTATGGGCAAATAGTGACACCCCCCCCCCCAAAAAAAAAAAATCAACAGTACATTTTTATAATAAAATAACCAACAATACTTTGTTTTTATATAGCAAAATGACAATCAATGCAACACTAAAAAAAAATATTAAGGATTTTTATAATTTTTTAGTGTTGCATTGATTGTCATTTTGCTATAAAAAGATATTGTTTTTATAGTAAAATTATCAACAATACATTTTATGATCTACAAAATATGTTTAAAAAATACACCTTTTAATCAGAAAATATAAAATTATGTACAAAATATCTGTAGATGAAAGCATAAAATTACATACAAAATATTTAAATTTTGGAATTAAATAACCCATAGAGGTTGATATGCTGCCAAACAAAATCAACCAACCAACCTGCTACTTAATTTTGGGGTTACAGCACACTTTGAATTTTCTGTTTTACTCTCCTTGCCATGGGAACCATCAGACATCTTTTTCAGCTATCAGATTATAGAGATGAGAAAAATCATTAAATCTTGTTAATTTTTCTTTGTTTCCATCTTGTCAAATATTCCATTCCATATTTACTTATGTCTATTTGAATTCAAATAATGACAAAAACAAAAATTGCACTGGAGTGTATTTATTTCAGCATAAAGTTGAATCTGTCTCACCACTTATCAGTTTTATAATAAGTTACTGTAATTAAAAGAAAATGAGTAATTTTTAAAAAGGAAAATGCAAAATTCACCTTCAAATGTGTAGTTGACATATAGCTACATGTTTCAAAGTGAAGCCCACCAAATTTGAATATAACAAATAACGCATATACTTGGGTTTATTGTTGTTTTTATAATAATTGAGGGCAGTAATCAAAACACTCAAATTCAAAAACTGTTTTATCAGTATGTAACTCACCACCCCTGTGGAATCTGACAAAGTTACCTTTCATTTCATATGATATATTAATACCTTCCACTTACAAAACTGATATCAGGCTGCTGCTATGACTATTGTTTTTAATCATTGATTTTTCACATCAATTATAATTTTTTGGAGCTTACTCTGAAGATTAAGTGCCAACAAGTCCCCACATTATTCTGTTTTCCTTTGTTATTCTGTTTTCCCTTGTTATTCTGTTTTCCCTTGTTATTCTGTTTTCCCTTGTTATTCTGTTTTCCCTTGTTATTCTGTTTTCCCTTGTTATTCTGTTTTCCCTTGTTATTCTGTTTTCCCTTGTTATTCTGTTTTCCCTTGTTATTCTGTTTTCCCTTGTTATTCTGTTTTCCCTTGTTATTCTGTTTTCCCTTGTTATTCTGTTTTCAATAATGTGGTTGTTTTAGCAATCTCAGTTCTTGTTTAGATTTTCTGTTGCTCCAGCCATTTTGCTAGAATCATTCCATGACAATGATGGGTAAAACTGTCACCTTTTAATTCTCTCATGTAGCCTACATATTTGCCCAGTTCTTCATTTGATTTTTATGATCTACTGTATGAGTAAAATTCACCCCCACCACTTGTAGTTGTTTAATTTTGTGGTGCGACTGTGTCAGTCAGTCAGCATTCCTTTTTAATAGTCATTGTTCAGATTGAACATCGTTCCTATTGTTTTATTTCTTAACATTTTGACTTATAGGAAGAAATGACATAATGTGCAAATTAGACATTAATGGAGGAAAGAAATAAATTTAGACTCTATGCTCATTGTACTGAATCGGAAAATAATGCAGGCATGTTAATAACTTTGTAAGAAATATCAAAATAAATTTTATACTGAAATTAAATGTTGAACAACATAACAGAACACTGCCCCCCCCCCAAATGATTGCTATGTGTTGTACAGATATATTCCTTTGTTATTTATTTGTATAAACTATTACTTATTAATTTTTTAACAGGAACAATGAAATACACTTTAAGGGACTAAATGAGAACACAAAAATACCTTCCTTACTTTATATATAGAGAGAGGGGGGCTGTTTGGTTGAATAATTGAGACATTTTTAAACTTCTCAAATTCACAAATCAATTTCTTAGTGCTGTTACAAAACTGATTAAGAAAAATGCCTTAGTTTTGGTTATTTTTTTTTTACTTTTCCAATCTCAACCAAGATCATCTTTGGGGATGAATTTCTAAGTCAAAAAGTTAATGTAATTAGTAGTTATGACTTTTTCTTTTTCTTTTTTTTTTTTTTTTTTTTTTTTTGTAAATGTACATGACATGTGCTGTTATAGTCAATTTAAAAATTAACATTATGTAAGGCAGCTTCTTTCTTAAATAGTTTTCTAACAGCACTAAGAAATTGATCCATGAATTTGAGAGGATTAAAATTAAATAGACATAATGTCTAGATTATTCAACCAAACATACTTGAATGAAGATATGCTGCACACATACACACACACACACACACACACATATATATATATATATATATATATATATATATATAGGCACACACACTCTTGTGTTTGTGTGTGCATTCATGGCTTAATATATATTTATTTTGATTTTTTGTTTATTTTATTTGTTGGGGAGTATCTTTAGTTTGAAGGATTAACTTCGTTGAAAGTATGTTACATTATTTGCATTGTATATGGTGCATATATTTTCATTTTTATTTTTTTATTTTTTTTTTTTACAAAAAATATAAAATATCCCAGTTAAGTGTCATATGCACTTGTGCAATCATGCTTCTTTCAATTCATGACTGACTAAGCAGAACATTTTCCTGAAGTGTGTTGCTATTTCTTTCTGCTGAAGACTTCTTTTAGAAGAAAAAACTATTTTTACCCCAAAATATTACTTTTTTGATACAAAATTTCTATGGATATCAGAAAAATATTTCAAAATACCAAAAGTCACACGTGCATAACTATGCATTTCTGAAAATACGAGATGAGAGGGTGCAGAAAAACTCTGTTTCATCAAATCTAATCTTTGGTATTTCAAATTAATCCATTTCAAAGTTAGACACACTTAGTTAAAAGGTATCAGCACTCTTGAAATACTAGAATTTTTCTGAATTTTCATCAAACTTTTGAAGTCAAATATGCCACCAAAACTTAACTGAAGGGTTTATTGACCTAATTCTTAATTAAAAGAACTTAAAAATGGATTTAATTTTTTAAAAAAATGATTCAGGTCAACTTTTGGAGAAAAATCCTCAAAATTCAACTGATTTTTCATCAAGAATGCCCTGAATCTGTTGAAGAGATTCTTGGCAAAAAATGGAATTTTCCTGAAGATACAGATAAAGGAGGAATGTCCAACAACAGGAAACACTGCTTGGTGCATCCTTCATTTTGGTAGAAGATATATTGCTGCCTAAATGATTGATGAACATTACACACAAATAATGCAAACATTTGACCAGCATCTTTCCATGATATTACGTCTTTTCTGCTCAAGAAAGCAAGTGAATGTGAAGGAGTACAGGAAACTTTGTACAAACCTGTACCTTTTTTTTTTTTTTTTTTTTTTTTATTTTTCCACACCAAGGCCCAAAACCAAAGCCTAGTACTTGGATTAGCATCACACCAGTAGTCCACAAACTTCTAGGACATTCCTGGGAGTAGATCAAGATGCATGGGGGCTTTGGATTAAAAGATTGAGATGAATCAGGTTCGGAGGTAAACAACAAAATTTTGCAATCAGTCTGGTTGAAATTTGCAAGAAAAGCCTCACAATCTTCTAATCTAGATGATGTGATCAATAGATTATAGTTGGGATCTGATCCAATGGTTAACACTGTCTGCTTGAAAGTCCAACGGTACTGCAAGCATTGTACTGAATAGTCATTCAACCAGGTACTGCAGAATCAAGAGACCAATGTTTGGTCTGCTAAATGATGATCATGCATTATTTGAAAGTTTAGTTGTTTCTACTTGAAGATACATTGAATAAACTTTAAAAAAAATAATTCTTTATTTCTGTTTCAATTATTCTCTCAAACATAAGTCACAACAAGTCTGGAAATATGTGTCTGCCCAATTATGGAAATCCAGTTCCAGTCCGCAAAAGTTTTGTCTTGTTTGGAATGTTCTTATTTTGTTGTAAAGGCCTCGTCAAAATGGTTCTAATGAGCCCTCACAGATGTCTATATCTTTTTGCAAAGTTAAATGGCACCCAAATATGTGTTTTTGGCTTTAGTGCCTAAATGTGGAAATTTGGTCCCGGACCCCCACATTTTTATTGTTTTTGTAAATTTATTATTTTATTGTAAAGGTTTCATCAAAATGCTTCTAACGAGCCCTCACTGATGTTTATACCTTTTCCATAAGTCGAATGGCATCAAATTGTGTTTTGGGACCTCGATAACCAAATATAGAAATTCAATTTCAGACCCCTAAATTTTCATTTTTTTCAAAAAAAATTTTATATTATTGTAAAGGCCTCATCAAAATACTTCTGAGCCCGAAATCACTATCAGACTATAAGTTAAAGGCAGGTTATGCCCACTGTGCCCCCCCTTCTTTTTCTCCCTCCAATGACTGGAAAGTTAATTACTGATCTGTAGAGGAAGAAGTTCTAAGCTAGAACCTTAGTTGATGGTGGGACTCAAAATGTCTCACAGCCAAAAGTTTTCTCTTTTTACTTATCCCCAGACAATTTTTTTTCCTTAATATTTTTCAGGATAACGGATGTCAATCAGCTGTCACAGATGAGTTGGTTAATCACAAAACAACAGAGTGAATTAAAACAAGGAATGGACAGTTCCAATTTCAGTCATTTAAGAACTTCAAATATGTAAGTGATTTACATTTTCACTTTCTTTCATTCTTTTCTAAAAGTTATCAAAGATAATAAATTGTAACTTATTGAACCTTTTTTCAATTTTGACATTTTTTAATGATTCTTTAACATTTTGAATCATCACATAATCTTAACATTCAATCTTATTACATTCTATTCAACATTTTGTATTTGATGTTTTCTTTCTCAAATTCATCTATCTTCTAAATGAATAAACAGCAAATTTTGTCTGTCCATCTGTGTGTCTGAAACCTCTCTAAAACTCTGGCCACACATAGACATATAACTTCTTAGAATCAGGATGATCCCAAGATTGAAAATTTGCCTTTCATCTGATGCTTAAACATCCAGCATTGGGATTTGTGTGTGGATAGGGGATCAGTTAAAATTTCGAATTTTAAAAAATTGAAAAAAAAAAATTAGTGATTTTAAGTTTTTAATTTATATTAAGTTTAAAGTAATACAAAAACTTTGAATTTAATTGATTTATTTTTTTTAAATTCAGTTTAAAATATCTCCCAAACTTTGTGAATTGAGAAAATCCAATTTTATTTCTTCAAAATGCCAAGGAAATCTGAGTCAAAGTGAGAGTTTGTGATATGAAGAACTCGACTCAAAGATCCATAGAATTTGTGATTTGAAGAACTCCATTTTCGGCTTGAATTGAATTTCTGCCTAAATTGGATTTTCAGCTCAGTGAATTGAGGAATTATTTCTTCAAAATTATTGCTGTTTTCTAAGCTGGACCAAAGTTTAGTTTTGGACTGGAGGCCAAGTTAGCTTTCTGCAGAAGCTAGGTTAAAAGTCCAAGCTAGTTAAATAATAATAAATGCATATTTGGGGGAGATAATTCATTAAAGTTTATTCAGTTCAATCCAAGTTAGAATTAGGTACCTACCATAAAAAATGGTAACTAAAGTCATTGCGTTGTGGCTCCACAACTTCTTATATTTTGTCACTCTTAGCAACGTTTGTCTTTTTACCCTCCTCTCTATACCCTGTTCTTCCATCCTTTTATGCAAACCTATGGCCCCTTTTATTGCTGCCTACACTCAGTAGTGTAACCACATTTAGTGGTCTGGTCTTAGGACAATATTTTAACCACTCTGCGCTGGTCTGAGCTGGCTGTTGGTTGCCAGCTGCTTCAATCCACACTAACTCTGCCCACATTGTGTTCTTGATCTCAGAGCAGTGGAGAATCAAATGTTGTGGTAGTTGAGGCACTGGTTTGAGCTGTGGTGGGCACTATATTAAGGAAAGAAATATCTTCACAATGAAAAATTAAAAAAAAAAAAAAAAAAAGATTTGTTGGTTAATCTTCAGTTGGTTTATATAGTTCTTGGTACAACAAAAATTAACCCTTCTCTCATCAATCTCTACAGTAACACTGGGCCTTGTTTAAGCTTCTGGGCTCAAAGTTCTCCAAAGTCATGAGGTATGGTGGCAGCTGATGTATATTCCAGAGGCACTGGTGCAGAAATTTGCTGCACAAGTCCTTGAGCTCTCAAAGCTATCTGCCTATATGCACTTTGGCCCAAAGCCAGTGTGGAGGTCAATGGCCTCTGGGGATTCAATGATTCCCCAATTTTCACATTGTCCAACAAGAGTTTTGTTCCCTATTTCTGCTTCCTTAATCAACTTTCCAAATTTGGAGAATTATCCACCTTTGGAGTAGTTACAAATATTGCTCCTCACTTGCTTCACTTTACATCTCATACCATCACTCCATACAGATGGTGCTAAATTCTCTTTCTTCTGCCTTTCCTCTCAGCATTTAACCTCAGCCTACTTCTCAGATCAGGTATAACTGTCTTTGTGACAAATCTAATTTTTAAAGCATATGGCCAAAATGCATAGTTTTATTCTAGTCATTAATTTCTCTGATTATTTTCTATTTCCTTGGACTTATCTCTGTCCAGCAAAAATATAAACCAGACCATTGATGACAGGACTTGTTTTCATGACTCCTACCTTAATTGTACATCTGCTCCATTAAGAGAAGTTCTTTCTCATTTACCTTCCAAGTGGGTGACAAAATTATTTCCTAATTTATTTTCATCTGCAAAAATATAGCCCAGATCTCTCTCCTGCCAACAATATTTGTTTGCTTAAATTCTCAAGGAAAAGATGAATTAATTTCTCAATTTGTTTTACCTGTTTTGCATGCACCGTATGGGAGAAGAAAGCCAGGTGGCTCTTTTCCATTTTCACATCACAAGGGAAAAGGTCTCCATCCCCCCCTCTCTCTCTCTCTTCCGGCTTATATTTCATTTTAGGCTTAACCCTTTCTTGGCTCCTCCAGCTCATAATTAACATTTAACCACTTCATGGCCTCAGCATCACAAACTCATTAAGCAGATTACTCACTGTTACCCTTTGCCTTCCTCGGTATGTCTAGTGAGTGTCAAATTCTCCAAGCCCTCATTCTTCATCATGAGTTCAAGAAATTTCAGCTATCTTTTTTTTTTTTTTCAATTCTAGGTACAAGTGCCCTTTTGCTTTCATTATTTTTTATTTATTTTTTTTTTAAACTTTCTCATTGCTTACATGCTCTATTCATGGTATTCTCATCATCCTTCTGTAGAACCCCATCCCTGTTGCCTCAAATCTCCTTTTCAGCTGTTTTCCCAGTATTCACTGCCATTGTTATTACATAGCAGTTCAGCACCCTTTTCTTTGTTTCTAACATTGTCTTGTTACGAGTATGCATTTCTATAAGAAGGGATTCCACTGAGTTCTACTTGTTATTACAAAAAAGTTTTCATTCATGGAGTAGTTGTAAAATAGAGAAATTAGAAAGAGAATGTTTGGAAGATTCTAGATCATTCTAGTATATTCGAGAAAAATCTAGAAATATGCAAATTATGTGTTAGCCCCTATAAAAATGGGATTTTGGAAAAGGGTTGTCAGTTGATGAATGAGAATTTCTGCTGTTACCAAATCCGGCTTTTGATTCAAGGACTATTATATCCAGCTGAAAGAATCTCTATAAAAAGTTGCCGACCAACCAAAACCCAAAAGAGAATTTCATGGAACAAAGTTGGTAAATAGAATTTTGACTAATTTTCATTGACCAAACTAAAAAATTAATATTTATTTACACACCTTTGTGGATTTCCAAATATAGCACTTAGATTACTTCACTAGCCCTAAAGTGATAAAGATATTTGATTCCCTTTCCTTCTTCCTCGTAACACTTTGTCAGTAACTCTGTGTTTTCTGTTTTGTAGGCCACAATTATTTATCCTGTATATATTTTATGTTCTGTTTTAGTAAATTAAATATTGTGTTGTGGTAAATCAATTTTTTTTTCCTTTGTTACAATTATTAACATGTAACATTGTCTACCATAACAAAAAACATTTAACAAGTTCATTGAATTAGATTCTTATTAAATAAAGTATTACCTATTTCTGTGACCTCATGTCAAAATAAACTAAGCTTAATAAATCAGTAGCTCTTATTACTATGGCCTTGTACCTTTCTATATTTAGTAAATACACAATCCAATCACTTAGAGATGAACTAGTATTGACAAGAAGAATTACACGATTGAACACCTTTTCTTTAGAGTAAACTATAAATTAGATTTGATTTCTTTTATATTTCAGTCAATGCAAGGGGTGCTGAAAAGTTCTCAGCTCACTCAAGAAGAGGTTCCAAAATACATTTTGATATTTGATCAGATGTTAGGAACTAGGTGTGGCCAAGAAAATTTCAGCACTCTCATATTTGTTTGTTTATATGTTCTTTATTATTTTTATTATTATTAATATTTTTTGACAGGTCTAGTCTTGAAAATGTCTCAGAAGAAAGTGATGTCCATATGAGTGTATTTCAAAGTCCTGATGTTGTAGGGTCCAGAGGTCGTGGTCATCCAGTGATGCAGGGAGGACTTTTTGAAGAAGATGGACCACAAATAGAAGATCCATCAGTGAGTAATTTCTTTCCAGGCCATTAAAAGCTGAACAAATTGATAAAAAAAAATGTAACTTTAATTTTCAATTTAAATTTGGCATCTCATTCTGTTGGAATCTACATACATTTTCTAGAAAAAAAACCTATTTGAATGATTTAACAGAACAGGAAAAAAATTTCAGAGAATGGATTTGAGGACCACTAATTATTAAGCTTCAATCATTTGTGGGCATTCAATAATTATTTGTTTTTTTAAATAATGATAATTGTATATTTGTTGTAGTTTGTATTTTAATCCTTGGAAAGATTAATTTGCTGTATGTTACTTTCTTTTTTTTTTCTTTTAGTGGTGGGTAGTGGCACAGTTATCAGCTAAATTCAAATTCTGACCAACTCTGTTGCATTTACTTAGGTTCATACTCTTTCCCAGTCTTGAACGAGAATAGAGGTTTATATCTTGTTTCCTGTATAGAATTGGGTTTCCAGTTCCTTCTAAAGTCTTTTCATTCACTTTCACTCCCAGTTGCACCTTGTGTCTTAGTAGAATTATCACCTTCACTTGGGATGAACTGATTAAAAAAAAACAGAAATAAATGCTCTTGGAAAAGGCTTGAATCTAACTAATCTTGGAGAAGAAAAAACACTTGAATTCAAAACCAACCTAAACAGGAATAGGCTCTGTCAGGCTATCTTGCCCAAGACACACCCCCTACTATAGCTGCAGTACATGCAGTCTCCCAATGATCATAATAGGTTATGAGGCTCATCATAATATTTCAATAAGTTCATGGTTTCAATCTGGCAGTACCCATTTCCTTTCCAAGTCCTTATCACCTTGAAGGAGATACAAAGACAATTCTCAGCTTTTAAATATATGACATGACTTCTGCAGATGTGTTAGGGGCAAAATAACTGATCAATGGATTTGAAATGATGCTGTTGAATTCTAACCACTTAAATCTAGGCCACTCTGCTACTTAGCATGATGATAAGGTTTCTATAAATATTAATGAATATTAAAGCTTATAGCACATATATCAACAAGTGGAGGGAATCCAGTGAAGTTTAATCTGATTGCAAAAGTAATCATCTTCAAGAAAAGCTCATTAACCATTACCCAAGAAACGCATCCTGTTGTAAATATTAATATCAACACAAAACAACAATAAATCATAACAATGTCAAAGAATATGGGGACTTTTATTTTAGGTTTAAAAATTACAGAAAGAATTCTGGCAGTAATCAAAGAATTTTTTATAAGGATTAAGGTTGGCACTTTGACTTTAACAAATTGTTCATCCCCTTTTGCATATTGATATGTTTATGAAGTCAAGTCAGTGGTTAGCCCAATGGTCTTAGATTTAGTTTTTTATGCTGAGAAATATGTTGGTTTTTTTTTCTGTAAGTTCCCAGCTTAATTTTGAAGGGGGAATTTTTTGTATGAAATGTTTACTTACTTTATTTGGCCATTATTTTAAAAATCGTCTAAAACAAAAATAAAAAGCAATTGTACATAATGGAGACATGGAATAAGTAAGACCCACACCCCACACAATATATGTTAAACATGTTCTCATTTGTGGAACTCACTTTCATCTTCTTGCGTTCCAGTCAATTTTGATCTTCAGAAATTTAAATGTAATGTTAATCCTCATTTTCTGTCTCCTCGAATCCTTTTCTCTTATTGTCCTCTCTCTTTAAAGATTTTTCCCAGATTCTTTTATTCTCAATAACCACTTTGATCATAGTGGCTTTATCACCTTGCTGATATGATTTTAAAAAAAAAAAAAAAAAATAGAAATGTTAAATCTATCAAAATGATTAATATAGTTTTGCATTTTCAAGTACTTTTTGCGGGGTACACTGAATGAAAAAAATGTCTAATTAAATGTATTTATAAACAACAATGATGATGTTTGTAAAATGGTAATTTCACAGATGTTAAAATTTATTTCATAGGCTAGTCTGATGGTTTTATACAACTCAGGTCGTCACTTCAAAACAGTTTTTTTTTTTTTTTTTTTTTTTTTTTAATGACCAGATTTCTTGTCTTGTTAGCAATAAAATACTTGCACATGTTTACTTCTAAAAAATTTATGAAAATCAAGAGATTTGGGCCATATAGAAAAATCTTTTTGCATTGATATATAAATGATTGCCTAATTTGCATAGTGAGAGTAGACCAGCTCTCAGTATGCAAGATAAACAACTACTGCTGGACTGATAAATGGAAATTCACTTCATAACAATGATGTCGATGATAGAAAATACATTAACCCTTGAAGTTCCTGACTCCATGTAGCAAAAATTGCAAAAACTAATGTTGATTATAAAGTGGGAGTAAATCATAAAGTTTGCATAGACTCGTATCATATACCAAATGTGGAAGTGACTTTACATTCCTTAGCAGCAATGAATGTTTTTATCAAAATAGACCTAACTGCATATCACCAGATCACAATAAACTCTCCAATAGGTCTCTTGTGGTGGAAGAAAAATGCCCTATAGAGTAAAGACAGCAAGTGCAATATTTCAAAAAACCATTGAACAAGTCTTTGAAAATGGCATAAAAGATATGTTATCAAGATGACATATGCTGAGGAGCCATTAATAAAATAAAAAAAAGTTAAAATAATAAACTGATATTGTCTTGAGTAGATTAAGAAAGGCAGGAATGAAAAGAAATTTTTTAAAAATTCTACACAATAGTGGCAAAATATAATTTCTGAGATGCTCCATTTCAAAAGAGTGTCACTGGATCAAGTACTAATAGAAGAATACTAAAAGTATTGGTACTCATAAATAAGAAAGAACTTTAGTCCTTCTTAAGATTAGTGAACTTTTTATAGATGATATATACCATAATCTACAGATCTAATGGAACCATTTACCAAACCAAGAAAAATGAATGCTGTGGACCTAAGAATAACAAAAGACTTTCAATAAGTTAAAATTAACTCTTACAAAGAAACCAGTGGTGAAAATTTTTGACCCCAGAAAGAAAATTACATTGACTTCATATGCCGGTAAACATTTAATATCTGTAATATTAACACAAGAAGGACACTCAATATCAAGAAAGTTAACATATGCTGAACTTAATTATTCAAACATAGAAAAGGAGGCTCTAGCCATTGTGTGAACAACTACAAGAGCTCGACAATTATTGATTTAAAAAAAAAAAAGAAAGAAAATTATATTGAGGTCTAACCATAGACCATTAGAATTTATGTTTCATCCAAGAAAAGAATTACCCAAAGTCATGACATCGAGAATATTAAAGTGGACATTAAGATTAATGACCTTTTTGACTTTGATATGGAATATGTCAAGGGAAATTCAATTCCACACACGAATGCATTATCGATATTGCAATTTTACAAAGATCCAAAAAGATGACCTTTGAGGATGCCTTTTTACATTGGGTAGAGATTGATATTTTGTCTTTGATGGAGAAAATGTCTGCTAAAACTATACAGGACTCAGTACTAAAAAGTATAACATCAAGAATAAAAAAAAAAAAAACATCTCAGGTAATGGTTCCATAGCAGAATGACCAAACAAAAAATTAAGATACAAATTAACAATTGAGAATGATTGAGTGTGATTTGTAATGGTGATTTAGCAATACCTCCCAGAAACTCAAAGAAAACTTGTGATAAAAAAAATGTACATGATGATATACACTGTAGAATATCATCTACATAAAAAAAAAGGGCTAAAGTTAAAAGTATAGTGGACGGGATATTTATGCAATGTGGAGGAATATGTTAATGATGTCTGAAATATAAGGAACTTTATGAAAAATAAACATGTGGCCCAAAGAGTTGGAAGCATGGAATCGTGTTCACATAGATCACGCGTACGTTAATGGAGTGCGGCTCTAATTAATATTAGTAGACTCTTATTTTTTCAGGCTGGAATAAGATAATTTGTGTACCTGACAAAAGAAGTGCTACTGTAAAACAAATTTTAAAAGACACATTCTTTAGAAATGGAGGACCAAAAAACCTGGTATCTTACAATGCCTCAGAATTTTGTGACAAAGGACTTAACTCCTAAGAAAAATAGGAATGTTATACCTTCCAAGATACTTCCATGTCACCTCGAATCAAATGGGATGACAGAAAGAATAGTTCAAACTATAAAGGTAGGCTTAAAGACATGTTTGCAACAAAAAAGAAAAAGTAGAAATCCTTCCTACCAAGACTGCTTTTAAGTTACCAAACTATTCCACATACTGGAAGGTTAGAGAGCCCACCTGCCTTCATGGGAAGTCAAATCACAGCTCTTTTAATTGTCATATTCTACTGATGAAAAAAAAAAGAGGAATTAGTTCACAAAAAGGCAAATTTCATTATGTAAAAAGGCAACAACACAGCTGTAATAAGAAATTGAAATATCATACATAGTCATGAGATGAATAGAAGGAGGGTGGGGGGAGAAAAGTAATGAAGAAATGTTAACTGATATTTCAAATAATGATTTTGTAAAACAAAAACAAAACCCACCTTTACAGGATGAAATGCCTGATGATGAATGTATGGATGACAAAGATAACCAGAATGAATATTCTGAAACTTCTGAACAGTCGATGAATGAAGAAGACTATTTTTGAATATGAGACAAGGCAAGACCGGTTGAGATCTCCATTGATATCTCTGAAGATAGTGAATATCAAAAAAAAAAAAAAAATTAAGAATCAGAAGTGACCAAATTATCTGAGTCATAAGACTGCTGTGTTTTAAGGAGATGTAATGATATATAAATGAATGCCTAATTAGCATAGCTAAGGCAATAACTATATAAATGCCCAAGTAGTAAGGGTAGGCAAGATAAATGACTACCAATGGATAAAATATGAAGGAATTCACACTTCATAATGCTTTTCTTTTTCAAATTAACTCTGGTATCATTCATTATCACTTATTAAACAAGATGCAAAAGTTGATGTACCATAAATGCGTATACACAATTCTCTGATTAAAAGAAATTAGTCAAAACCGTAACACAGCA